TTGGATTAATTTGAGGAACAGGGACAATTGTATTAACTTGATTGACCTGTTGGGTTTGAGTCTCGGGGTTAACTAAATTTGCATAATTAGTTTGAAGAGGTTGAGGGTATGATTTATTAACATAACCTGGCTTTTTATATGGAGGGACAATTCCTGCAGCTTCTTGTGCTTTTCGATATGCGAGTTTTGCACAAGTTTCCATTGAATGATCATTACCTTTGCAATAATTGCAAAATTTTACATCTTTAGATGTTGATGATGAGGATGATTCAGATTTCTTTCTGTAATCATTTGAATGAGGATGATTTGATTTCATTAATTTCGACAATGATGATTTGTCTGAGGATTTTTCATTATTATTTTTAGATGAAAAAGTTTTTTCTTTTGGTTTACCTTGATTGTTTTATAATCGAAGTGTTTACGAGTGAGGAAATTATAGATGCGAGTGCGATCATCATTGATACCTAGGGTATAGATGTCATCACGAATGTAACGAGGAATATGTTGAAGAACGAGAGAGAAAAATATTATCAGGAGTTGGACCATACGCCTTGTTGGTCAATCGCTTCATGTCAGCGAAAAATTTTTCAGGATGAAACTCAGGATTGAATCGGCAATTCCTTAGTTCAAAATCAGCACTATATTGTGATTCGGGAGTTTTTAAATTTTCAAAAAGAGCAGAAACATACTCATGATAATCTTGAATATGATCAAGATCAGCAGCACTATTTTTTATTTCATGTGCCATTGACTTCTGTAAAAGTCGGAGGCGGGTTGGGTCATCGACATTTTCTTTTGCGAGTCGATCACGAGTTTTAACAAGCCAAGAATATTGATCTTCGCCTGAACGGAATTCTGGGACATGGGGATCAGCTTTTAATTGCTTAACAATTTCTAAGAAATTTGAGGGAGAGAAATTGTCACCAGAGAAATTAGATGGAGTGGTAGATGGAGGAGATGGTTCAACTATGTTGGCACCATAGGAGTTGAGAATGTTTTTCATTTTATTCAAAACGCCAAGAGAAAGAGGGAGAGAATAAAGTTCTGAATGAGACAAATTGAAAATTGTCTCATCATCACGTCCAATATTTTTGATGAACGATTGAATCTCAGATTCCGAAACTTTTTGTGCACGGAAATCTAACAGCCAATTAGGAAGTTTTTGTTGTTTTAATTCTTCTATGCGGACATTCTGTAAATCGTCATGAGTTACAACTTCTCCAAGAAGTAATAAATGGGTTGATGCAATATCGAGTAGCTTTTTATTAGCCAAAGATCGAAGAGGGAGAGGAGCATTCCAAAGCTCGAACAAAGAGAGAATCTCTTCATAAGAAATATCTCTAAGAGATTTAGGTGATCGAACATGATCAATAAGAGTAGATGCACGGGTGGGTGGTCGGGGGTTGACCGGTGTGGTAAACTCGGGTTGAGAAGGAGGGACAATGGTGTCGTCCTCTGATAGTTCATCAGGAGTAGGTAAAAGACGACGAGAGGCTTTAGCAGCTCTTGCAGCGCGAGCATTAGCTACACGTGTAAGCGCGGCAACACGGGATTTTTTAGGAGGCATGGTAATAATTCAATAGAATTCACAAGAGAGAGAGAGAGGGAAAAGAGAGAGCACAAAATTTCACAAAAAGAGAAAGCAAGGTAACACTGAGAAAGAGACGATCCTGCCTGGGTCGCCAATTTGTGGGGTAGATTTTTAGATTGAGGAAGATATCTTAATAAAGATGAATTTTGAGTTGCCGTAACTCGAAAAGTCTATTGACTTGGAAAGGATTTGAATTCGAAAAGAAGATTTTCGGTCCACAATACCGAAGAACAAGATTCGTAAGGATCACCTCTTACAGTATTACCACTACACTTCACTTGCTTCACTTTGTGTTTTAACTCTAAGAGTTCTCACAAATTCTAATGAATTGAATTAAAGAGAGAGAAGCAATTTTACTTTGCTGAGAAATTTTATTAAATTGAAATTGAGATTAAAGATGGATGGATGGATTGATTGATTAATTGAATTTTAGGAACAATTAAAATTAAGATGAGCACTATTCTAATGTTGAAATAGAACTGAAGATTAATTTGAATTGATGTTCCTTAGGAACGGTTAACTTGAGGGGAAAAACAAATTAATCTGGGGAAAGAAATTTGGATGATTAAATAGGGGGAAAACAAATTAAGCTAAATCATCATAGTGATAAGAGTAATGATGAGTTACAAGTTAAAGATGAACAAAAGAAAAGAAAACCAAATGTTACTTATGGTTAACTTGAACAAAATGAAGATAAGATAAGGGGTTAAGCTTCTAGGCTTTTACAATACAAAATCTAAAAAATGAAAGAAAGAGAAAAGAAAGAGGGAAAGAAAGAGAAAATCGGGTCTCTTACTATTTGGTCAACTTTTAGGTTAACTTAAAGATGAGAGATTTGGGTTACAATTACAGGTAATTAGTTAATTGTTTTAAACAAAATTAATCATTGAGAAAATTAAAATGATTATATCTTTAGATATAGATTGATTAACATGATTGGTTAAATAGTTGGGATAATATATTTTGTTAACAATTAAATTAATTTGATTAAGGATATTAATCAATTCAATTGGTTAATTGTAACAATGGTAAATGACAATTATAGTTGTAGGAAAATTTCAATTGTTAAATAGAAAATAGAAAATTAGAAAAGAAAGGAAAAGAAAAGGAAAGCAATTGCTTAAGGGCGCAATTAACTAATTGTCACGAAGGGAAATTGGATTTAAATAGAAAATTAAATGAAAATTAAATAGAATTAAATTCTAAACAAGTTCATCAAATCACTATAGTGATCGAAACGGAAGACTGATGATTTCAGGATTTTCTACCCTTCAGTCCCTAGCACTTTGATGAAGATACTTCTTCAGGGTTTCGTTATCGATACGATTGTTATTTGGTGAGCTTTGTTTAGATGATGAAGTTCCGGGTATTCCTTGGGAATTTTTCTTCGATTTGTTGGAATCGGAAGATGAAGTAAATTTTATCATTATTCAATGTTAATTAGAAACAAAATTTAATCAGAGTTATTTAAAGGGATCAGATTTTTTTCCAACTCATTGGATTAACTTATTATTTCAACGGTTTAATTGTTATAATTAACATTCATCCTTCACTTTAATTCATTCTCATGATTAGTTTTTTCTAGCATGATGAAAATTATTACATGGGAAACGATTAAATTCAATTTTATGAATAATTCAATAGAGAGAGAAGAGAAATTTCCTCAAATTTTGACTGTCCGGTTGATTTTATTTCATGGAGAATCATGAAAAACATCAGTATAGTAATGAGAATGCAATTCATTTCAAAAGTTTCCCTGTTTACTAACCATCAAGAACTATGTTTAAATGCCTCAGGCCATTTTCTCTTCACACCTCACAGTTTCTTCTGGGAAATTGAAACAAGGAATGAGAAAAGTAAAGTTATATACTCAACTTTTCATGATAAAAATTATGAACTCATGGCTATCACCCTTGATATTATCTTATTCTGAAGAAAGGATCAAAATGGTTTCAATAATAATGGTTGCGAATAATAATAATAATAGAAAAAAGTTTTATATTCTTTTTTTTCTCTGAAATTTTCGAAAAAGAATTATTTTTTATGTTGTATTCAAAAAAAGGGGGAAAGTCGAAAAGAAAATATTGTTATGATCTGATTCTGTTTCTTCATCCTCATCACTTTTTATATTCATCCATTCAGAGAAAGAGAGTAAGATATATAATCTTTATTTACTTTTCAATCGTTTGCCTCTTTTTTATATTTACTTTCAATTCTATCATGAAGATAACGATGTAAGATAATAATCATGAAGTTTCTAAAAAATTTCATAATTTTCTTGAAAAATTCTTGATTTTTTAAATCGTTTTCATCCCATGACACAGATGAAGTGATCGAAGAGAGAGAGAGAGAGAGATGAGAAATTCAACCATTGATCATGTGATTTTGTGAGAATCAATTGTTGATCTGTAAAATGAATTGGAAGCTATAAGAATTCAATGTTTCCATGAAGCATGATCAGAATTTTCAAGAAAACATCATCTAGACACTTATTAGAATGACATTGTCTTCGTCATCATCTCGGAACTCAGTGATGAAGATAACATGATAATGATGAGGGTTCTAAATTGTGTGATCTCTGTTTGTTCAACTGAATTAAATCTCGGTGTAAATGCAAATTACATTCAAATGGTTCATTTAATTTTTCAATTTAAATCAAGAAAATAACATTTCATTGATATTTAATATCAATTGGTTAGGATTTCATAAGAAAATCAATATTCAATTTTCAGGGTATTCTTCATGAGGAAAAGATAGCAAGTATAAAATATTTGAAGTTTTTAATTGAATCGACAAGAAACTTTCAATGAATGAATCAATGAATCGTGTTCATGATTAGGAAACAAAAACTTTTTGCTTCATATTTCATGGTTCATGTGATTTCTCAATATCAGATAATAAAATATCAACGGAATTGGCAATGAATTACAACCATACAATCATCTCAAATTATCTCATTATTTGATTAGATAATATCAAAATTGTTTTTCCAACAATTTGAATAACTTTTCACTTGAAAATTCAATCATCGATTCGGATATTGAACGAAATCACTGAGTTTATGTGAGATTAACAGGCCAATAAATTTGGAACGAGAAAGATATTTACATTGATATTATTACTTATGATAATTTTCCTCCAGGTGAAATATTATATTGATAACAGGGAAGAAAATATCATCAATGGAATATATTATAAAGAGAATGGAATTTTTTCTCTCAAAGTTCAGAAACTTGAGTTTTCAATCTCAGAGGTAAAGCTTATCATGCTTATCTTTCAGGGAAATTGTCGTTTTTATGGTGAATAACAAATTGACATTTATGATCAAACATCATGAGAGATAATCAAACATGTGATTTTCATTTGAAAATTCTGATAAAGTTCAACTGAATTGAGAATCGGAACTTACTGAGATCCTTGAGTGGGATGTTAACCAAATGAAATCTGAACTTGGTTTCTGTGTTTGCGGTTCTGGGTAAAACTCAACCCCTGGTCCTGAATCAGATTTAATTGTATCAGCTGATCCTTGGTCAGGTCGCCTTTTACCTCGGTGCTTATGATGGTGACGATGTTGATGTTGATGTTTAACATGATATGATGATTCATTTGAAACATTTATCGATGAGATGAATTGAAAGTTATCATTGAAATTTTGATCACTTGGATAAACATTACGTTTGTATTGATGTTTGATTAACAAATTAGGTTTCACTTTATCATTATTATTATCAAGATGATGTTGATTATTTGCAGAAACAATTTTTGGTGATTCAGATGATTCTGTTGGAGTAATGGTCAACAATTTAGATCCAAGTGAATTAACTTGATTCCTTAAATTGTAAGTTAAATAAAAGTTATAACTTAATCCACAATAAAGAAGGATAAATAAAGTTAATTGTAACCAACGTCCAAGACAATTAGATGAACAACTTTGATGATTTGACTTGTTCATTGTGATTGAAGGTTAAAAAACTAACACAGACAAATCAAAATGACAGTTTAACCTTAAAATTAGCTTTCAAATCACAATTTAAATAACATGATTAGATGAAATTGAATTAGTTGATTGGTAATCTTAACAGATTAGTTGGTGAAAGTTAACTAAAGATTAAGATGAAGTTGTGATAATAACTTTCAACTTTTTTTTTCAAGGAAACTTTTTTTTCTTAATCTTAATCATCATCATGATTAACGTCAATGATAAAGTGATGAGTGAAAACTCATAAGTTAATCAACTCGGAGGGTTTAAAATTGTTTATAATTCATATGTTAACCGGCGGACATTATTCAAGAATCATGGAGATGAGGAAACTTTAACTAACCTTCAAGTATTGATGATAACTGACAATGATGATGAAGATAAAAGAGTGAGAGTGTTTATAACATGAGAAACCTTTCAATGGTTAATCCAAATTCATCAGAATCAACAGAATGAAAGAAAAAGAAAAAAAATTTTCTCTTCTCTCTCGATTCGACTCAAAACTCAGCCAACAATTGAGCAAAGGTAATGAGATAGAGAGAGACAACGATGATTTCTCATCCCTCATCATCTTCATCATCATCTCACCATAAGAATCAGCATCTTTCTCTCATATGTACATTTTATCACATGTAAACCCAATGAGAAGATAAATTGCTCCACAATTTGAGAAACTCTTTCAACATCTTCTTCTCCATCCTCATCTTTTCCTTGTTTTCCTTTTCTCTTCCTCATCTTTCTCATCTTCATCATCTCTCTCTCTCTCTCTCCCATTTTTCTTCATGTTTAGGTTATTCTAAACACGAATTGAATATTATTTATATCATTAACATTATTGTATTTATAGTTAACCATGAAATGCATAACCAAAAATGATAGCATTATATTTATCAATGTTAACAGTTATTATTACATTAATAAACATCACGTGACTTGGAATCATTGATTTTGATTAGTTATTATTAATGTTGCTTATTAAACATGTTGGTTTGTTGTTATCATGATATTTCAAGTGAAAATCATTCTCGACAAGATAATGGTTATCCCTTTAATCATAATTGTCTCTGGTTTTACCAATGGGCCTTATTTTCTGGTAAATTTGATTTGTTTCCAATAGTTAATCAATTATTCAGGCTACAAATATTTTCTTTATGTGTATAAGTTATTGGGAAAGTTTTTTTTTCCACCATGATGATTTATCATTCTCTTCCTCTTTATCTTTCGTTCTGTATCTTTCTGATGTTCAGAGGTTTGATTGATTGGAATATGATGTCCACTTATATATATATGAATTTCCATTCTTTTGATTGGCTTTTCTTTTCTCAAAATAATCACCTCATTTTCTTGAAGCATCATGTCAATCTTTTAGTAGTAGAAGATGAACTGAGAACAATCAATTAATTTCTCTATATTTTAGTATACAATTTAATGAGATTTCTAGAGTGATCTTCATTGATGATTAACTATAAACTAGAACAAAATTTGTACATCTCAAATGGATTCCGTGCATTAATGATTTTGATCTCGTAACGACCTTCGGGTGTCTTTGCTTGTGGCCTTTGGATAAATTGTCTATCCGTATAATAGTCCAGGCAACTATCGGCTTCCATGTCAGAATAGTTATCGACCTTAATTGGTATGAAAGGATCAAACTCTTCCCAACCCTAAAAGTTATGAGAAATGGAAAAGTGGAAAATTAAAATTCTCAATTCTTTGTTGATCGACAAATCGTAATTGTCAATGTCTATTCAAATTTTCAAAGCGATTATTTAACTTACCCTATCTCCTAGTAGTGATTTAGGATAATAAGGAGTCAACCGATTCTGCCAATCAGTTTGTTTAACATAAGTGCTCGTGATTACAAGACCATTTTTCTAGAAAAAGTGAAAATTTCTCATTAGTTTAATTGTATGAGGTATGAAATTTCTGATTCTTACCCAATCAGTTTTGAAAAATTTCATCAAAGCTCGAACCAGAGTTAAATCCTCTACACTGGCTACTTGTCCGTCCGGGTGTTTTACCTTTGGTTTACCATAGAAAATGTTAACATCATTGACCAAAACCATAAGACGTAATTGACCAGAGTTCGCGGCGATTTTCAATTCTTTCAATAAAACTGCGTAACAATCGGATGCATGTTTCATCCTACTTAAACCATGATCGATAACATTTACTAATGGTTCTCCTTTTTCAGTTGATTCTCTCATACTCCATATATATTTTTTACTAACAGTTAACTGAAAAAAGCAAACACATAGACAAGGATTAAGTTAGTTCTTTAAGATGAGGAGTAATTTGGGTTAATTGTTTACATTTGACTTTGCAAGAATCGCACTGTTTTGGTTTTTAAAATGTTTCAGGGCAAGAGCAGCGTTCAGTGGGAAATCAAGGCGACCTGGTCTAGATTCGGACACTTCAATTTCCGCAGGTTCATCTATCCAATCTTTCGGTGAAGTAAAGTGAACCAAACAGTAGCCATTAAGATAACCCCATAAAGCTAAATGGTTGAGAGTGAAAGTCTTTCCAGCTCCATGACGTCCCCCTGAAAACGATAACAATCAATGAAAATCATCATATTCTTTTCAATCATATTCATAGATACTTACAGATGACATAACGATTAACTGGACGATTGAAATCAGTTCTCTCAATATAATCTAATATTTGTAAATAAGGTTGACGAACCATAATACTTTTATCATCAAGAACCTCAAATAGATCACTTGAAAATGGTTCAAATCCATTGACAGAAAATAATCTTTCATAGACATCCCTTGGTATCGGTTGAAATGTACCAACAATTGCTTTTTCAGGGTAAGAGGGAGGAGGAGGTGGTGATGGTGGTGATGCTGTTTGTTGGTCAATTTTTTGATTGTCGGAAGTTAATGATTGACCCGATGAACATAAAAATCGTCTCAATAAACAAGACCGATTTGAAAACAATCGGATTGTGGGTAACATATTAATCCAGATTAACTAAGCAGCTAAATTAATACAAACACAGGTAACAAATGGCAGTGGAAAAGGAAAAGCTACAATTAACGATTGATCATTAAACCATTAAGAGTCATGATTGAACAATTAGAAAAAAATCACAAGGAAAGTTAATTGTTTGTAACAATTGGAATTGTTGATTTTGTAGAAACATGTGGAGAGAATAGAAAAAGTCTCCAAGAGATGTCGCCACTTGGTGGAAATTAAAATTATTTTGAATTCGATTTGAAATCTTTATGAATGATTAAGAAATTAAGTTGATTTAGTTTCTTTATGTGAATGTTATTTAAGAAATAAACCTGACAAATCTCGTGTTTTGGTATGAATTACAAACTTGAAGAAAGTATTAAACAAAATTAGTTGAACGAGTTACATTGATTTACAATTTGTTGTTGATGAAGGACGATTTAAGTTTCAATTGTTTGATTAAGGAGAGAGAGAGAGAGAGATTAATAGTTTCACAATTAGAGAATAATGAATTCTCGGTAACGTTTTGCTTTCTCTCATTCTTTTTCAAGATTCAATTGCTTCAAATTATAAGAATATTATACATGATTAAGGAGAGAAAAAGAAACACGCAAATTAAAAAGAAGCGGCAAGTCGTTGGTAACAATTAAAGTCGCTTTTCTAGCGTGAAGAGGAATAACTAATTTAGTCAGTGGGCCAATCTTCCTAAAAGAATTCACTCAGAAAATCATTGTAACCGTTTGAACCAATTCTGAAAATTTGGTGTAAATCAGAATTTTATTTCTCGAGTTATCGAGTCACAGAATTTGGGAAATTTCCATGTAAAATTTTCGCTTCGCTCAGACAACTAGAAAAAAAAGATCAAGCATGATAATAACAATTCTTTGTGTGTGTGTGTATACGAGTGTTTTTTAGGCCATTTTGTTAACTATTGTTGAGTGTAAAGATGTTAATTGACTTGTCCATTTTTCCAATGATCGATACCTGGCACCCGTTAAAGTACTTTTAGTTAATTCTAAATTTTGATTGACTTGATCAATTCGTCCTTGAATTGTACTAAATAAACAATTAAAAAAGAAACAATAATTAATAACAATAAGACCAACAATCAATCAAATTAGGAAACATACTTATCCAGGATACATGATACAAGTAGATTTTCAACTTCCGATGCATCTATGTTTAACTCCTAATTATGGGAAAGAGAATCAAGTTGATTAACAATTAGAAATTTTTAATTGCAGAGAAAGAGAGAGAGAGACAATGAGTTAATTTTCTCGTGAGACTTACCTGAGATATAAAAGGAATGTGTATTCTAGTATAAGGTTTAATAAGTTTGATTAAAACTTGAGTTCGTATGTTTCTCAATAGATCTAGAGGAAGAAAATAAATTACGATTAAAAATGGATTAAATTGTGGTTATGCTCAATTATATAAATAGATTAGCGATTGAATACCTTCAATATGTTCTTTGATGAAAGGATCATCCATAATGGTTCTTCTATTGTTTTTCAAAATCTTCTCAAATTCATGGATATCATTATTCTGATAAGCGCTGACAAGGTTGGTCATTGCAAGTATTTCCGGATCATTTTTGTAAGGTTTAGCTTCTTGAGAGTCAAACGGATTAATACCCGATTTCATGAGCATATTGGCAAGAACTAAATATTTGAGACAAGTTGTTCGCCTTGGACTTCCTGATTCGTCGTAATTTTTAAAGGCTTCAAAAAAATCGGTATGTGACTTTTCATATTCACCTTCACGTAGATGCATTTTACCACCACACTCTTGATGAAAGATGAAGAGAAGACAAAACAAAAACCGAATCATTAATATTGAAATTGAAACAAATTGATTTAGAAAACTACAGGATGGTACAATATAATTAAAGAAATTGATTGTTACCTCTAATCACTCCCATGATTAACGGATGAGGGATAGCGGATTTGATGCATAAGGATTGTTCATAGAGTTTCTAGAGGATGGAGACAAAATATAAGAGAAAAATATTAGAAAAAAAAATGATTAACAATTTTTCTATGGATAATAATTAGAATGGATAATGATTAGAATTACCTTTAGTTTTTTGTTATTCTTTTGAGCTGTATACATTTGAATTTCTAATGCATAAATCTCTAATAATTGGGTTCCTTTTTTCAAATCATCGGATCCATCATCATTTTGGCAAGATTGATGAAGCTGCTTTAATATCTTGGCTAATTTATTAAATTCACCTCTATCATAATACAATTTACCCAATTTAGTGTTGGTCTTAAACCAAAGACGATCATTTTTAGCATCTTTCAATGCTTCCAAAGTGGTCTCATAAAATTCTTGAAGTAATTCCATCTTGGACAAAGGTTTGATTTTCGGTTGATTCATATAAACAAATAGAAGTATGATTAACAGTATAAAATACTTAACATGTGGATTAACAAGCAATTTAACAATCCAATTGGTTAAGGAAAAGATTAACACAAGGAAAACCTCTTCTCTATCAATTGATGGATAAATTGTCTAACCCTTTTTTTGTTTCTAGAAAATGATCATAATAGTTACCTGTTTGCTGGTGGAAATATAATCTAGAATGGAGTTGATAGATTTTTCTGAATAATTTCTTGTGACAGCACTTTTAATATAAGTTAATAATTGTTTGTATCTGGCCATCATCTCTTCATATTGACCCTAAGTTAGAATTTTGGAGAAGAAGAAAGTAAAAAAGAAAATTATATGGATTAGAATTAGTCAACTGTGCATGATGATGGTTGGGAACATAAATGTGATGATTGATGAAAGAAATTGTTGATTAGTGGCTATGAAGAGGAATTAATTGAAATATCATTGCTTTGATGAAGCTTATATTCAACATGTGAGTGTATGTTGGAGTCAAAGGTAATAGGGATTAGGTGAGAGAGAGAGAGAGAAAGTTTACCAATCTAAAATTGATTTTAATCATCTGTTTGAGAGCCTTAAATCCCCATTCATTTTTCTCATCACTTTCAAGGTCCAGAACTTTTTGGAAACTTTGTAATGCCGCTTTAGGATCATCTTCCTTAAGAGCTTTGGAATTGTAATATTGATTCTCTAGATCAACATCAGGCTCTGAATTACTGTCCTCAGAATATTCCTAAAAGAGAAAAAAAAGAAATACAAAGAGAGAAAGAGAGAAAGAAAGAGGAAGAAAGAAAGAGAGAGAGAGAAAGAGAATAGAAGAAAAAAAGACAACATTGGTTAGTAGAGAAATAGTAACATCATCGCAATCAGAATGATGGACAAGTCTTAATTAAACTAATTGCTGATTATTGTAACCACAAGTTACCATATTAAAGATACAACAATTAGGTAATTTAAAAGATGAATTTAAAAATAAAGGCAAAAGTGAAAGGGAAAAAAAAGAAACCTCATCACAAGTTAACTTACCAAATCATAATCTTCATCATCATCAACCATAAAATCATCATCGGCATCACTCATTTTGCAAAGTTAAGATTATAATCAATTGTTTAATTAAACTAATTCAACAAATTAACGATTAAAATGATCACAATCAAAGATTAACAATTAACCGATTCTAATCCTTATTCAAAATATAAGAAAAAGAGAAACAAATAAATCAAACAAAAAGAAATTCGAAAGTGACCACCAGATGGCAGAGGAAACGAACAAAAAGAAAAGCGGTTAATTCAATTTGCAATTCAAATTCGTAAGAAAAAAAAATTCCAACTTTTTGCTGTTCCATTAATTGAATTAACTAATTAGAAAATTACAAGAGAATAAATTGTAACAATTAAAACTAAATTAGAAAATTGATTCTCGATCCAATGTGAGAGAGATAATAATAGATCGTCTATTAATCGAATGTTGTTCTAAACGTGATTAAAGTTAATTCTTGAAAATGAATTATCATGAATGGAAATTTTTTCTTCCCTGATTATCAAGACAATCTGAAGATAATTTGATCTGATAATTGATGAAGAGAAATTAATGTTAATTGTGGAGAAAACTATGAAATTAACTTTGTATATATACTTTTTGTTCTACCAAATGGAAACAATAGATTAGGATGATAATTGTAATGATTAATTGATGATTGGCACGCAAATTGTTTCGACAGAAATGTTGATGTGATTAAATATAATTCATAATGAAAAAAAGGAGAAGATGAGAATATGAAACAATTTATTCAAATTGTGATTATAATTAAACCCCAACATGAGAAGATACAGAAAAAAAAATTAGTTAATTAATCGTCAATGATTAACATTAATCGCTACTTAATAATAAAATAAATAGTCCACGAATGTTAATCAGTTTGAAAATTCAAAGATAATCAAACTGACCAATCAGTTGATCATCATAATAGTTAAATTGTTCATCCGTTGACCATCATGATGATGATACAATTTACATTTAGATCAAAATATCCAAGTTTTTCTCGGAAATTGATTCAGTTTTTTTTTCGTGACCTGAGTGACCCCTCAAGGGAATCTTTTTCATCCTAATTGCCCTTTGACCCATCAGAAAATTCATTCACCTTTAACTCCCAATGAATAATTATCCATGATAAGGTTTCCCTGTATATCTAATTCAATAGAGAAAAAAAGTTGTCGAATTAAATTTCAATTGATAATCTAATTTGAATTATTTCCTTTACAATTAACTTTTACCCTGCCAATTTATTAATCATTAAATTTTGTCAACTGATTAATCTGATGTGATAACAATTTAACCATAATGATTAAACATTGAATTTATTACTTCATGAATAATGTGAATTTAATCAAATCATAACTATTGTCATTGAGTAATATCATCATGATTAACTCAAATGGCTTCAATCAACAACAATCAACAAGCAACAGTTAAATCAAATTGATTTTAATCATTTCTACATACACAAATAAATATTGATCATCATCTTAATTGTTGATGTAATATCAATGAGAAACAAACTAATAGACAGAAAAGTTTATCGAAACAAAGTTTTCATTGAAAGTTGAAGAGTAAAAATATTTTTCATCATAATAACATCGTGATGATGATGATAATAATGAAGCCATATTGATAATCATCATCATCATCATCTTCATCTTCATCTTTATCATCATCATATTGATCATAGATTAGGAATCAATGGTTAATAACTTGGCTTAAAAAGTATTGAAGTTGCATTATTTTCACCAAGAAAAAAAAAATTTCCTCATCTTCACCAACCTCTTAAGCCTATTAATATATTTGTTACCAGTTTATCATCATAATCATCTTTAGGTCATCATTTTATCACCTTTGACACGTTTCAAGGTTGAATATTATCAAGATGATTAGATAGATAATCAAGAAGATTAAGAGTAAAACAAAAATTGGATAACAAGGTTATCCCCTTGATATCAGATGATTTGTAATCCATTAAAATTATCATCTTCATCTTCATCTTCATCATGAAACCAAAAAGTAACAATAACAAGAAGATGAACAGAAAAAAAATGAATTGTTGAAAGTAATGTCAATGATAATGGTGATGATGATGATGATGATGTTGTTGTTGTTGGATATGATATTTGATTGTTGTGGTCAAGGGTCAGATACAATTGATTGTCACAGAATGAAAGTCAACGAACCAATAATTCCTGTTTATGACATGATTTATAATTAGAGTTAGAAAAATGTTTCATTCCTTTTATTTATCATCATATTTTCAACATCAAGATTGTTTACTTCATCATCATCATCTTCATGATCACCATGATCCCTCCTATAGCATTTCAGAGTTATTCCCAGATCTTTCAGAATTTAATCAACAAAATATAAGATGAAAATGTTATTAAGGTTTTTTTTCCTTCCATTGATTAATTCATTCAAATTGTTCATTTTCTTATTTCATGATTAATAATAATAATTTTTGCTTCTCAACTTTCAGAGTTTTTCACATCCAAATCATTTGTTTAGTAATCATGAGATTAAATTGAAACTTTTACCTGAGAGATAATCAGTTAATCTTGTTAACTTTGCTCTTTCCTCTGTAATTTCGAGTGAAAAAAAAGAAAAAGTTCTAAAGATCACTTCGAACTTTTATAAAATAACAAATTCGACGCTCGTACCAATTTGAACATTTGAATCTTATCATATTAACTTGGAATAATATTCATTATTAATTTGCTATTGTAATTTAATGTCATATAAATTGTATATTAATCACAATTACAAGTCACCTTAACATGATTACCATGATTATCATTAGTTGATTCAATTTGTTTCAATTGTAATATAATATGTTTTTGTTTTCAGTTCAGTTAATTTCCAGAGTTCCAGGCCATGAATACCTGTGGTAAATATATCATATCATTGAACACGTAATCGCAATAAATAATAACAATCAACTAAATATTACATTGGAATAATTAAAGTTTAACAATCAACGATAATTGAAACATTACTAAACTATTGTAAAACAAAATTGTCTTCACCTTGCCCAATCAACATACAAGAATTTTGTGAATGAAATTGAAATTTTTTTGAATCATTTATGAATCAGCTTATGAATTTATCATGAATCAGAGCTTTTTTGGGATTCATTTTCTTTCAAAAAAATTAGAATTAGAAAAAAAAATTTTTTTCATTTTTGATTTGAGCGCCGAAAATGTTGATTAAAATGATTTAGTTATTTTTCCGCGAGAAAATTTTTCAAAATGTAAACAAACACAAATGGTTTTCTACTGAACTGTGTTTTAATTTCAATTGAGCATAAGAATTTTGTTATTGTGAGAAATTCAACGAGGTAATAGATAAAATTCAATGATTTTTTACAATTTGTACTACAATATATGTGATTGGAAAAAGAAAATTTTCAGGTAACTTCTAAATAGAATATTAGAAAAATAACAATTTCTGAATAAAAGGTTTGAATGTAGAATTAGTAAATATTCTCATCTTCGAGTTCAAAATCCATTGGAGGAATTTCTAATGAATAGTTCATCACTGATTCTTGTGAAAAAGAATCTATTTCCATTTCTTTAAGCTCTTGAGAATAATCCATGAGGGTTGGAAATTTATCAAATTCAGTGCTATTTTCCTCCATGGAACTGTTTCTTTGGAAATATTGAAAATTCTCTTTCTGGTCCACATCCATTGGTGATTCTGGACAATAGTAATTCATGGGAATTGGAACCTTTTCAATGGATTTTGGAACAAAATTACCCATAATCATATATGAAAATAAAGCTTAAAGAAAAACAGAAAATTAGAAAAAAGCTAACGCAAAAACTAAAAAGATTGACTTAGATTTTTTTCTTACCTGATTTTTATTCTTTGTTTTAGAATCACTTGAAATAGAAGAAATTTAAACACAATCAGTTGGAGCACAATTAGAAATAAACAAAATTCTAAAAAAATTGATTAAGATGAAATTAAAACTGAAAGTTGTCACATAAACACAGAACAAGACTGATTGGATTGTTTTCTAAAAAGAAAAAGCTAAATTGAGAAAGTTCTTTTCTCTTTAGATCATTCGACCATATGTTTTGGTTTTTGAATTGAATTTTCTCAATTTAAACCTTGTCCTCTTGGAATAACTACTTGTTCCATAAATATTGCTCAATGATATGATCTCTTTTGCTTTTGAAGTGAAAAGTTGACGTTTTGATGTAGATGAATTTATCAGCAACACTTTCAATGGGTAGACAAATAATTTTATCGAGCAATGTTATAACCTCCTGAATATTTTCCAAATTGAAAGAAATAAAACCAGTGATTCCTTGAAATGAAACAGCAACTTCTTTAACTCGATAATTATTACAGAGTAGAAATAGATTTGATTGATATTGAACGATATATTTGACCAGATAGAAATTCTTATTTTTATCCAATATTTTCGAATCGTCTCTTCTTTTGTTTCTACAATAACTTTCATGAATATCTTTTTCCAAGCACTTTGATTGTTTTGAAAAAAACAATATCTTGTTCCGAAACTTGATGAAAATTAAGATGTTCTTTCAGAGCAATTACAGCGATTCCAATTTCAGTAAGACGTGTACCTTTTTCTTTGATGAAAATACATTTATCTTTTTCCGAAATACAACCAAAGTTCTTTTTCTCTGATTGGGATAAATTCCACTTTTCCAATCTATTGATCTTGTAATCTTTATAGCGAAAATCACTCATAAAAAATCTGACAAGTGATGGGCCGATGTTTGAGTATCGATGAACTTTATCCTTTATGATCCCCATGTAATCTTCTAAAGGGTAAGAAGACATATTGAATTTGGTCCTAAATTCAGAAGAGAGTCTGATAGATGAGATAAAATGAAGGTTGTATGTTAGAAAAGAAGATCCAAATATTTCTGAACATCCCAATTGAAACTCTTTAACTAAATTCTGTATTTCAGTCACGGTTACAAATTCAGCTTTTCCTGTATGGGAAAGGTAATAGATCCTTGAAAGGCAACTAAAGTAGCGTAAAACTTAGGCTTAAACAAACCAACAGTTGTCGAATGGAAAAGTAACTTAAAAAGCATCATATTCACAACTTTTCCAGAATTTTAACTGGTCCAAATCTCTTGAATCCTTGTAAATTCTGATGGAACTGCAATTGAGATTAAACGGAACTTAATTTCTCATAGAGTTTCTATCAAATCCTCGTTCTAAATGTCTCAAGGAATCTGCTCCAACTAGACCTTTGCTTATAAGATTGCGAAATATTCCCAAGCTTATGCAGTGCATTGGCTCCACACATATTCCTCGAACAATATCAAAATCAACTAGACGTAGAAGTGGAGAGATTCCATTTAAACCACGAAAACGGGGATTCTGAAGAACTTCTGAATCTGGATCTTGTTCAATGATTCGACTGAATGTAAGAAAATCATCTTTTTTTCTCATCAAATTCAATTGATCCTCGCTGGTTAGATTCGGATAGACTCTTGCTCCACCAACAGACGAGGCTGTGACTAAGCACCAGTCACAGCCATTTAGATGATTATATTGCCTGACACATCGGAGATAAGCACGCATGGGAGCATCTGCAATTAACCCAACCAAATGAAACGTTGCTCTAGAATTAGAACTTATTCTTGTAGGAAATGTTGATAACTCTAGTAATTCATCACAAACAGGACCTAGATAACATTCAACTGCTGGTTTTTTTCTGCCGACAAATATTCCAACCAAAAAAAAGAACTTTTTCCTAAATTCCGGTTTGATTTCGTTGATTGTTATGAAAATTGGAAATATTTTTTCACTTGAACTTTTTCCAGTGGCCACTTCGTCTGCATGTAAAGTCAGTGTATATCGTTTATCTTGTGAAAGATTTCCCATTTCCTTAACACGCTTGGCTTCAGCACAGTTTGAAACATCGAACCGTTGATCATCTTCTATCCAGAAGTAATCTGGTAAATTATGGATATACTTTTCTATTTGTTGACGAAGAGGCAGATGTAGAAAAAATTTTCCAGGTTTCAGCACAGCTTGAATAAGTTCTTGTTCACATTCATACGATTGCAAATTAGAAGGTTCCCCGATTAAAGGACCATGAGAATGATCTTTTTCACATAAAATATAGATATTTATATTGGTTTCCAGGGCTTTTTTATCCCAATAATACCTCAAGCTCGGGAGATGATTATTCGAAGAAAAATATCTTTTACTCAAATCCTTGAAAAGCTGAAACACGTTGTCTGCTTGAGAAAGATTCAAACCAATGTGAGAAATAAGAGTTTCAAAAAGCGTTTCACAGTATTCACTTATTGTTGGAACTATTTTCTCAGTATCATCTTCTAAATTCATTGAACTGGTTTCACTTGAATCCGAAGGAAAAAAATTAATTATTTCTGTTGAGTCTTCACTTTCCGTATCTGGCACACCAAACTCATGATTCTGAGTATCTGGCAAACTATTGATGTAAAACAATTGAAAATTTTCATGTTGTTGTCGATGACGACGATTTAAATTTCTGATTGAACCCATTGTTTATTTTTCATATAAATTAATTAAATATTTAATAGAATATTAAATAAATCATTTAAACTCACAGACAAACAAAAAAAATCACTAAATAGATTTAGAGTTTAAACCACATGTGTTTGTTTACATTCTAAAGAGAATTTTAATTTATTCGATTGTTGCTTAGCAACAATCGCTCATTAGCCAATCAGAAACGAGAGAACGAAATTTGTTCTTTTTAATCAAATTTCCTTTTTCGATAGTACAAAGCTAGATAATTTTTTATCTACAAGCGTTTCCTTTTTTAATTTTGTTTTATTTGCATTAGTTTATGGATTTAAAGCCCATAAGAAAAAGTTATACTTTTAAAATCGCCAAAAATAGTAGTTCCCGTGCTAGAAGCTCAGTGCTCACGAATCAAACAACTCTAATTGGATCTATGTTAACCCTAAAAATGGGAGAAAAAATTATCGCTGCTATTTGTCGTGTGAAAGATGAATCTGGTGTTGAGAAAACGATTCCTTTTTGTTTTAAAGTGGACGGAGATCAAATTCCATCAACACTAAAGTCTTTAGATGTTTCTTTTGAAAGCTTGATAAGTGTTTATGTCCCAGAATGTGAACCGTTTCCGGCAATGGTAATCATCATAGCAGGTAAGTCTCTTTCTAGTCTTTTTAATACAAGTTGATTAATTTCTTTTTCTTTTCAGACGATTCTGGAGATTTATTTCAAGTCTATAAGACGTTTCTAGCTAATGTTAAGAGCTTCAATTTGAAAAACTTTCAAAAAACTCTTTCTAAATGGATAAATATTGAGGGTGTTCAAATAAAACCTTTAGCTTTGAAAAAGTTTCCAGTTGTAAAATCAGGAGAGTTCACAGAAATTTTGAAAAAGGTTAAATCTTTAAGGAAAGTTGCTGATTACGAGGGAAGAACAGATGAATCGGCGCCTTCAACATCTCATTCTGAAAATATTGTAACTGTTGTATCTATGGAAGGAGAAAGAAATTCAATTCCTAGTGGACAAAATTCCAATAAAAGAAAAAAGATAAATTTCCCATCCATGCTACCGAAAGTTGATCTTCAACCACTGGCAATAGCTGCTTCGAAGCTTGTACACACTAGTGTGAAAGCCTATGCTGCTGAGCTTCAAAAAGTTCTAGAAGCAATTGTTCAACAACCAGAAGAAGATACTATTCCGGCTGGATATCCCTTAGATGTTTCAGATGGCTTCCAGAATATAAGAATTATTCCAAAAGATAAAACATTCGAGCAGAATAAGATCACATACATCGAAGGTATACTTCCTGTTAGATCTCGAAACTATCAACAAGCGATTGCTAAAAGAGTCAAAATGGGCCGTGCTGTTGAAGAGCTAGAACCTACCATGTTGTTGAACAACATCATCAAGAACTGTTTCCCTCGCCATTGGCTTGTAAATACTACTATCCGAGGTTCTGGAGGAAAAAGATGTTTGATCTCAATTTGGAACTATGAAAAACCATTATCGGATCCATGTAAAGGTGTTTTCCAAAATGGTCTTGGTGAAAAAAGACTTTTGGCTTTATTAGGTAAGAAATCTTGAAGAATCTTTTTCAATTAACTAATTGAATTTCTTCTTTGAATTAGATCATGTTCTTAGGAAATGTAAAAAGTGTAGCTACGATAAATCGATAGAAAAAGCTTTGGTTATTGCAATGTCAAAATACATCAATTATCATAAAACAGTTCTGGAAAAGAAACGTAAGAAAAAGATCTACACCTCTTCTGAATCAGATCATGAAGAATACAACACTGAAGATGTGGAAACAGGAAATGAAACCAATGATGACGATGATGATGGCGAAGTTTTATCAGAAGTACCTGATGAAATTGTAGAAAAGAATATGGTGGATGATAAAGTTTCTGAGCCACTCGAAAGTTCTCACCTTAATTTGAAAAACTTCTGTGTTTATGAACCTAATTCTGAAGACGATGATTCTCAAAAAGAAATAGTTCTGGATGACGATGAGGATAAGGATGGAAATTCAACTCGCAATCCGCCATCAAAAAGTGATGATGTTGCCCATGTTATACGTCCCGAATCTGATGCTAATGAGGAAGCTATTCCGCCTTCAGAGCCTCAGAATCAACTGATTACTGAACAAGAAAAAGAAATTCAAGTTGGAAAGTTCTAGATCAACAAGCCACTGACGATTCAACAACACAAGATGCGGACACTGATCTTGAAAGATCTGATACAATTGTCAGTGATAATATTCCCGATTCGATAAATGATTCAGGAGTTGCAATGGATACTAGCTCTTCGGGAAGTTTTTCTGTTGGAAAAAGATCACGACGAACGATTTCGAGTTATTTTCCAAAGAAACAAAGAACAAAAGAAAACGATCAAGCCATTCCAGTGGAAACAATTTCTACCTTCGGAACTGTTGAAGGTCGCTTGAATTGTGACTCTCCCCAATCATCGCAAGTTCTTAATCTGCAAACTACTTCAGCTATTGCTGAAAGAGTTGACTCTAATCTGGACAAGGAAGACAAAGGCGATGTTTCTGATGGAACAGACGAATTTCTTGCTAAATTAGAAGCACTGGCATCTGACCCAAAGAAAAAGATTCTTCTGAAAAGAATCATCGGTTGAAAATATTCTTCAAGAAAAGGTTAAAATTCTTACATATTTACAAATTACTCATATTTTTTCTTATTTTCTGATTTTCTGACACCCAGAAATTGATATTTTTCTAATATTTCAAAACTTCTAAAGGTAGAAAATGAATAGATTGCCATCGAAAGGTGAAGCATTGAATATATTCAATTTTAAGTGAACCTTCAAAAGCTTTTAGTGGAAACAGACTTGATAAGATTTACTAGAAACTGGTCCGTTTTAATTTTGTCATGAAATTTCAAATTGAAGAGTTTTTATTCATTTTCTATCTTGGAAAAAATTCCATATTTACTAACCTACGACTAATGATCTCGTTACAAAACCTCTTTAAAAATTACAACAGAAATCAATTTATTTTCTAATCAAACCGGTTAATTTTTTCTATTCCCACTGGGTATTTTGATTACAATTCACAATAAAAAATTATTTGGAATAATTTCCGTTTCCTGGTTTGATTGTTTTCTGTGTTTCTAATGTGTGTTGAATTGTATATTTTCTAATTCTTTTTCGAGCTTTGAAAAATGTTTTCTGACCGTGATCCTCGTTTAATTAGACAATTTTCTAAAGGAAAAGCTTGCCTAATCTGACTAGACAATCTTCCAGTGAAAACTCACAGTCTAATTTGAGTAAACAATCTGACTCTTTTTCTTCAAGAGCCCACACGCCCTCTCCTTTTGAGAAAAATATCTTTTCTAACAATCCAGAATTTAGTTCTGAAGTTCCAACAACAAGTTCTTTATCATCTCAGTGTGAATTTGTCAAGAAATCTGGCTCTCTGCTTATCATGTTTCTCCCTAACATGGTAGACGAAAGATTTAATCGTATTAAACAGCCTTTGGTGGTTAATGTAAAGAGTCAAAGCTAATCAATTTGGACTTGATCTTCCGTTCAAAGATTATTTTGACAGTTACCGGAACTCTTTCCAAATCACTGTAGACAAATTTTCTTTATGTGGACAAATAATTGCTTCAGGAGGTAAGTTGATTTTCTGAATTGAATTTTATCAGGAAAAGAGCTGAAATTGTTTTTATTCTTCTCTTTAGCTGACCCGATATCCCTTCATGACTCAGTAAAAAGTAATATTATAAACAATAAAGACTGGAGAAATTGTAATAAGATGCTAACAAATTTAGACTTCGACTGTAGGATCAGGCATAAACCATTGAAGTCTTCATATGATTTGCCTGAACAATATCTCATGGAAAAGAATAAATTTCTAGATTTCTTGAACACTTTCAAGAAACTCAAAAGGTTGGATACTTTAATTGAGAAAGATTCAGATGAAAAAGACGTCGATGATAGACGATGCTCGGATGACTCTTCGATAGAGCCTAAAATTAGCAAACGTTTGAGAAAACTCCGTGGCAAACTCGATGACACAAGAAGAGGTTACAAAAAGTGTTTCTTCAAAAAACTGAGAAAAATGTCTCTTTGGATGATGGTTCTTGTTCATGCTCAGGAGGAAAAAAATCAAGAGAAAAAGCTTTTGATAACTTAATCAATTTGAAGGAAAGATTAAATGAACGTAAATTATTACTTTCTCAACTCGATGTCAAGGAAATGATAATTTCTGACTTAATCGAGGCAATTTCAGAAATTTATAATTTTCTTTGTGAATCTGAAACTGAAAGCCGAAAATCGATCAGAAAAGTTCCAGTTAACGATGATACTTGTAAAGATTCGAAAAAAAAGCTTATCTATATCGAAGGTACTATAGCTTTGGACCTAGAAAGATATAAATTCGCTTCAAAAAATGCAAAGCCATCGAATCCATTATCTTTTGCTTATAACCTGATAAAGAACTGTTTCCCGAAATCTTATTATCAGAATGTCACGCTTGGTAAAAAAATCTATTCTGTTGATGAGCTTGAGTCTATGGATATCGAAAGAAAAGATTACAAAGGCAAATTCGTGTTACCTTTTATTTGGGGATTCAAGGATCCATACGAGGAACCACTTCAAGGAAAACTTCATCTAGATCTTGGGCTTGCCAGAGTACAAGATTTCATCGGTAAGCTTTAGTTTCTTTTTCTCTAAGCATCAATTCCGAACGATTTTCTAATATTTTTATTTCTAATTCTTCATAGATCACTGCTTTCGTAAATCCGGAATAATGGAATATAATGAAATTCAGGAAAAAGAACTGAGAAATCGAATACAGAAAGAACTTTGTAATATGAATGCTTTTGAAAGAAACTTAAAGAAAAATGAAACTGAAGATCAAATGTCTCAGGATGAAGAACAAATTCGAACAGAAAATGAAGAAAATGATATTATTCCGCCAAATTTGCTGACAAATAGAAAAACAGATAAAGATAAAGAACTTCGATCTTTTTCTGTAGATATTTGGGATCCAGAAACATTTGATTTTTCTGCTTGAAATTGTTCTATTTGCGAAATAAAAACTTATTCTCAACTTCTGAATAATTATAAAATTCTAAATTTCTATTTTCGCGAATTCAAAAGTAACGCTACACATTCGTTCACACATTCTAACATTCTGTTGATATATTTCGATTAGCTCTGAATTTCGAGCAATATTTTTCTTGAATTTAGATATTTATCTAAATTAATAGATTTATCTATCCAAGAGAAAGGAATTCCTTTCTCTTGGAAAATGTTCAGCTTTCCAGCTCAGATTTTTTACTCTGGTTTCTATTTTCGGAGAAACTTGGATTAGAATCCAAAATTTTTGATTCAAAACTATTCATAAAGTCCATGATTCATAAATGATTCAAAATGGCCCAACCGGTGCCTTTTCTGAGTCATTTCTGAGTCAAAAATGTTGATTGGGTGATCAACAATTTAAAGCTTTAAAGTTAATCAATCTAAGTGATTTTTTTTTGGAAAATCAATTTATCATATTTATTTCAATTTAATATTCAATTAATTGGTTGATTGTTGATCAGTTTTATCTAGTTGATTGTTACTGATCAATCAATTTCAGGGTGAAGAAAAAGTTATCAAGTTAATTTGTTGCTATAGTTGCTTTTTTCTTATTTGATTGCAGTTAAATACTCTGATTGTGTTAATAAGTAAATTAAATTGTAATTGATTATAGAAAATGATTCAATTAATGTTAATCTAAATCATATTATTATTATTATTATCATTGAAATTGAGTAATCTCCGAGATGGAAAAGCTTAATAATCATGATCAAGAATAAATTGTTGCGCATGTGATTCAAATTTTTTCATGATTCTTTCATGATAATCATGGGAAGAGTGTATTATATTTGAGAGAGAGAGAGAGAGTAAGTGAGAGAGAGAAGAAAAATTTTCATCAATGTAACACTAGATGGCGATGATTAAATACCCGCTCTAAATTGTTCCCACCTCTTGTTACATTCAAGTTAGATTATCATTTCAATTTAGTTATTGTATCAACTGGATTGAATTTAATTGTAACTAGTTAATTGTTGTGTTTGCATTTCTCTCTTTGTAAAAGTTTTACCAAAAGAAATGGACAATCAAGTCCAATAGTAACCTTCAAATAAGATCTTTGATTTTGGAGACCCAACAACTTTACAATTGTTATTAACCTTAAATTGTTTGTTTTTGTTTCATCACGACACTTATAATTGTCATTGGTGTATCTTAATTGTTGACTCAAATCATGGATAAGAAAAAGTTTCATATTGTTTATCACCAACATCATGAAATTTGTCACTACAATTGACCTCTGTTATTGTTATTCCGTTAATATTATCAACTGTAATACTTTTGTTTAGTTTCAATTTTCAACACAATTAAAGACATTTTCACCATTTTGGTTAACTAATCAACAATTGCCCAACAACAAAGGTAATTATAAATGCTTTTAGCTTAATCATTTAAATTGTATGCCCTTCAGGGTGATCTTGTCTCAATATCAATATACACTTGAAGATTAAACTTAATTGCGAATCTAATCACAAACAATTTAATCTTTCAAAGGGATAACAATTAAAGGATGAGCAAAAAAAAGTTGATTTGTTATTATCTTTTGATTAGAATAACAGTTTTTTAGTATTTTGATTGCGAGGGAAAAATTTAAAATCTAATCAACCGATGTTAATGATATTATCATGATGCAAAAAATGATTCAGTTAATGGTGAACAATTAAAAGTATCCACTCTTCAGATGAATGAAAATTAAATGAGTGAATAGAAAGTCACGTGATTTAATTAAAAAGAATAAAAAAATTCTCATTCACCTGAACAATTCTGAAGGTGGTGAGATAAATATTCAACCACCGAGGGAAGATAATTGTGATAAAAGGTTAATAATATAACTATTATTAATATTACCACAGGTAGAATCATGTCAAAGGTGAAAATCATCAATTTTTCATCTTCTCTCTCTCTTTATTTTCCTCTTTTGTCTGTTACCTTTTTTTTCATTCATATTTTTACCTTTTCATCATGATCATCATTCAACCATTCACCCTTTTCTCCCCATGTAAATTACTTATTTTTACACTTCTCTGAACTTGAAATGAAAATTGTTGAACAGATGAAGATACAATAAAGAGCTAGAAAGAGAGAGAGAGAGAGAGGAAAAGGAAACAAACTTTTCTCACCACAATGATGATAATAATGAGCGATTATGATGATGAAGATGAGAGAGATAATCTCTCCATCTAAAATTAACTTTCCATCATCATCATTATCACCCTCACAGTGAATCGTTTTTCTTTCACTTGAAACTTTTTTTTTTCATTATAACTTTTTCTTGAATTGCGAAAAAAAGTTCATGGTGATTACTATCTAACCTTTTCCCTGTGATATTCAAGGTGTATAATTGTTGCCAGAGGTGGAAATTTTTAGCTAATGATTTTGATTCCACTCACTCTTCCTACCTTCCACTAACTGACCACTTGACCATTGGGTTTTCAATCTTCATTTGCTTCATAATTGTGTACTAGCATTAATATTATTATTATTGTCTGATTGTTATTCAAGTAACTTAGTCATGTTGATGTTGATGCTTTTATCCTAATCATAATCAGTTAAATTATTAATTAACGACTATTAAAATTACGTGTTTCCCACCTTTCCCTCCTCCACCTCCACCTCCACCTCACTCCACCTTGAACCCAGGTAATAATAGTAATTATCAGGATAACTTTAACCTCCCTGTCCAGTCAATTGATAAAAAAAATAACAGAAAAAAAAATCTTAAAATTTTCAATTCTAATCCATGATTAACCTCTCAACAGTTAAAGCCTCTTGAACCTATTGAACAGAGTGATTATCATTATGTTGACCTCTCGTTTATTGTTTAATAATAATGATATCGATATTGATTATGTATCGATTTTGCCAACAAGATGAGTCAAAGTGATTAGCGATTATCATTTAAAGATAATTATTCAATTAAATGGACAACAAAGAGGAAAAACAAAAATGTTGACCAGTAACATTTAATATTACATTAATCAAACTCTCCCTTCACCTTTAATCCTCCCCATACCCTAGTCATCCCGAATACATTTGCATATAAATATAATCATCCAATGGCTATTAGAATAACTAATTACCAAGATTAAAATTGAATAATTTGGAGAAACAATTAACAATTAATGTTTCAAATTTTCGGGTAACACTGGAAAGAATCATGGATGAAAGAGTTGTAATCATTTTCGAAATCATTTCAATTCTGATTTATTCAATCATTGAGCTTTTTTTTAATATCTTTCCAATGTTATGAATTGAGAATTTGAAATTTTGACAATATAACTTTCATGGAACTTTGTAAGTTATGATTTCTCATGATACTTAACATGAAGTCTATTTGTATCGAAAACTTTGGTTTCAGCTCAATGAACTTTTCTTTTTATCCTTAGATATATACTTTGTATTATATACTGTAATACTATGAAGCAAATAAATGTCTCATTTAGAAACATGAATATCATGAAAATTATCCTGATGATTTCATGGAAAACATGAGTTTCAAGTAGCTTTTCAATAGGAAACTTAATAAGATAGAAGATACTATGGAAGTTAGAAAATAAAAGGTAGAATAGATTTTTTTTCTGAACAGTTTTAAGTTTTCGTTTCGCTATTTTTTTATTGTTGTTTTTTTTTCTTCAAAAAGTTTCAATTTCTTTGTTACTCTCTCACTCAGTCATCATGATGAAGATGATCAGGGTGAAGAAAATGAAGATGTTAGAGTAAGATGAAGAAGAAAAGAATTTTTATTCATGATGTTAACTCAGAATTTTATCTTCTTCTATTCATCGATATTTGATAAAAAGTCACGTTCCATCTAGTTCGCTCTTATCCTCATCTTCTTCCACCATGTTCAATACTTAAGAATTTAAAGTGCCCCCAATTCTGATCCAATTCTATGATATAAGATAACATTTAGATAAAAATATGAACAGGTAAAGCACCACAAAAGGAGATGAATAGAAATGGAGAACGAGAGAGAGAGAGAGAGAGAGAGAGAGAGATACAATGAAAATACTTTCTCTTCTAGCAGAAAATATCATCAGGAAGATAAAGAGATGATAAACACTCTACATGATCTCCATCATCCACCTTATCATCCTAATCTTGACATAAATCATCATTAACATCAGAGCCTCAGATCAAGGTAACTCTCTCTCTCTCTCTCACTCTCTCACTCAGTCTACTGAATGAACCCTTCATCTCCTTACACACCGGTGGAAAAAAATTATTACCATTACATCAGGTGAGATCCATGTGTAAGCCTTTTCTTGCAAAGCATTAAGCATCATCATCACCATGATTCAGATTCAGATGATTCCCCATGAACCAAAAAAAACTACTGGGAATTTACATTTGATTAAATTCAATTTAAAAACCAGGAAGCCAACAGTTAATTTCATTTTGATAATCAACATGTAAACCTAATTTAATCAACTAGATTTTTGTAGCATCATTAAACTTAATTTGTTGCCGTTTAATTGATTAAACATTTTTCATCACATCTTTTGCTTAAATTAATTGTAATTTATATTATATTAATTATTGAATTTAAATACAAAACAAATGATTAAACAATTTTCTCCAACAATAATTAAATCAAACAATCATAAAGTTTAACACAATATTTACATATAATTACCATTCTAATTGTAATTAGTACTCCTACTTTACCAACAATTAAAAGTTCGAGATGATAATATTACCATTAGAATATTTTTACATTTCGAACTTTTTTCATAACTGTTCGAAATGTTCAAAAGAGAATCTGTTGAGTAGAATTTTTTCTTTTCTTGCAGATTTTGTGCTCTTTCGAAATTGTCAAACTTGATTGTGAAGAAAATGATCGAATAGACAATTTCACGTTCTAATCTAATTGAAACTTTTTATTCGATTAACAAATTGAATAGATTGATAACTTTTCTTGAAAAAGATTTTCCTTTTCACTTTAAGGTTGATTTTCTGTTTCTGATTCTGATTCTTTCATGATGCTTGATAACACGAGAAGAGTTTATTTATAAGTCGAAATATCTAAATACCCTGAGGGAAGAGAATGAAAGAAAAAATATTCTGACCAGAGACATGAAACTGTAATACCAACACTTTCATGGAACTATTTTCACCTTTTTCCCCATACAAACAGTAACTTTCTAATAATATTGTTCAATTCAAACTGTTCACCATGAATATGTTACCATGAATCTGTGAGATAATCGGTCAGGGTAAAAGTATTTCCCATGATATTTATCAGATAATCTAAGTCTCAAGTTTCTGAAGAAGAATCAAAACAAATCAAGAGAAAAAAAGAAGTAAAAGAAAATTCGTGAAAATCCAGGTTATTATTTCGAAAAGAAGAATGTCCAAACTCGAATTGGTGGATTACGAAAAAGAGAGAGAGAGAAAGAGAGAAAGAGGATAAACTTAGTGGAATAAGTTAGTATTCATTTGGAAAATTTTTGAGCTGAAAAATTTTCTCCCATAGAAAGAAAGATATTTACAGAGAGTAGAATATGAAAAACGAAAATGTTCCAAGAGAAACTCATTGATCCAAACATACAGAGAGAAAGCGATATCATAATCGAGATCTAAAGGATAAAAACTTTTTTATTTATCTTAAAAATAGTCGAAAGAAAATTGTTCTAAGCACCAAGTTTAATGTTCAAATCGAGCTCACAGAACATTATCATCATTTCATCTCTCGAATCATGTCCCATGTATATTACTGAATATTGATACATATCATCCACTTGACTAGAACCTAATAAATGTTTATCCTTCTCGATAGTAACCATTTAGTTCTTGACCATATCGGTTTCATCCATCAATAAATGATGATAGAAAATCTCTCTCTCTCTCTCTTTATCTTCTCAGGATAAATGATGATGATGATTCTGATGAGCATCACAATAATAATAATAAAATCCATTTACGAGCAATAATAAAAACTAATAATAGTCACAATAATATATCGTAAATCTGGTAACTACAAATATAAGTTTCAATTCTGATGATTATGTTTATTTTTACACTTTGGACACACAAACACCCAGACAATGACCATTGATGCCTTTCCGAGTTTATCCATGTTTACAGGCTATTATTACCATCACAAGGTATTAGATTCCACCAATTAACTAATTATCTTTCCAGACATTTTGTTAATCATCAAATATATTATCATTCTCTCAGATATTTTGATTATTCAAAGATTAACTTTCTAATTTAGTTAATTATAAGATTAACAATAGTAAAAAAAAACTGTACTGCTGATCTGATGATGGTCAATAGGATTGGCTAATGGTCACTAATAGTTAATTTATACACACTAGTATAGCATTTGGGAGTTTGATAATCTAAATTGTGACAAAATAAATGTATCAATAAGATTATGATTTAAACCTAATCAAGATTTAATCTTTACATTTGATGTTAACTTTTCATCTTTAGGATGCTAAATGATTAACATTATCATCATGTTGAGATAATTTTATCTTGAATGATTAGTGTTAATGGTCAACAGCCAATTGAATGTTACATTAAATCCTCTTGAATTAAGGTTAATCTTAAAGATGAGAAATAATCATCTTACATCATCATCATCATCATCATCATGTTATTATCATGTTTTTAATGTTGATGATAATTAGGATGCTAAAGGGATGAAAGATGAAAGATTGAAGATGTTTGGTAAACAATGGAAATTGCTATTGAAGTGACCTCTAAATGGACCATTTATCATTGTAATCCCATTGAGATGACCATTTATCAGAGAGAAAATTTTCTCATCCCTCTTACATGATCTTTAACCTCTCCAGTCCTCCTACTGTGAATAATAGTCCATAGGATTCAATGGTCATTCCAATGAGCTTCAACACCTATTATCATGATGGAATTTTTATTTTTTTTCTTCTTCTTTTCTTTTCTTTTCTTACCTTAGAACTTTTTTTCTTTTGCTTCCCTTGATTCTCATTCCATTGTTGTTGTTTTTGTCTGTTCTTATTACAGAGAATCTCATTCCGATGAGTTAATTTAAATTGTTCTCAGCATTTGATTAAAGCTAAATTTCTTTTACAAGAAAATTTCCATAGATGAAAAAAACCATCATGAAGTCGTCGAAAAAAAAAAAAATAAAATTCTTAACAACTTTTTTCTCTCCATCTTATTGAATTACCTGAACTTTTCGTGCTCCACCAACAGTATTTTTCCGCTCATCATACTAATTCAATAATAATGAACAATAATAGTTACCATTATTCTTGCAAGATTAAACTTTAGATTAAGTGGAATAAAAGTTCAGATGATTCAGTAAATTCATGATGATGATGCTAATACACAAGATGAAGTAACTTGAACAATATTTTTTCATTTTCATGAGAGAAAGAGAGTGAGAAAAAAACAAAATCTAACTGATTTATGAATGAATATTGTTCATTGCCGATGTTTTTTTTGCGATTTAATCGTTAAATATAAGTTCTAGACACTCAAGAAATGAATGGTATGAGATTGAGCGATACTCAATTGTCAAATTGATTAACCTTCGAGAGGATGAAAGAAAACTGAAACTTTGAATGTTCTGTGTCAATGTTGTTCATTGAGATTATCTTGATTATCATAATTGACTTTCACTTGTTGTCAATAGCTGACCAACTATCAGTATAGTCCAATAATTAATAACCAACTCCTCTTGTGTCAATATTAATATTTCTTACTCACACAATATCATGTAAATATCTTGAGCTTTGTATAGAGTAGATCAAGCTTCATGTTTTCCTCTCCCGATTCCAAATCCTAATCTCGATGATGATGATGATGATTCCTCTTCCTCTTGACCAGACAATTTAGCTACACGCATAACAACCCACCGACTAAGGTGACATCCTCAAGGCAAGAGTAATGAATTGATGAAAAATCCACCACCATATATGATATGTAATGTATATATATAAATCATGATAATAGTTTTTCCCCTTGTCTTATTTATATATATAACTTTTCTCATGGTTACTCAGTTGTTATCCACCATGACCTGTGGCTGTATTTATCATTGACTGATTATTGGTTATCAATCTATTAACATGTAATCATTTCAATTGAAAATATCATGATGAAAATTGAATGGATGACTGAATGAGATAACTCATGATTTGAGTATGTAAATTAATGATGAAAATAACTTTAATTCAATCAGATATTATCATAAACATAATCAGTTGTTGAAATTGTAACATGATGATAAAATTACCATAACAATCATATATATATATATTTGTTACCTTTTACTTTCAAAAGTAACGGTATTTTTATCATCACACTTATCATGATTTAATGATGTTTGATATTGTTATTATTACTATTGAATTGATTCATTCTCAATCAGCTTTCTTGGTTTGTTGTTGTTGGTTTTGGTCAACAATTGTTTTCCCCCTCCAAATAACTGGACATGAAATATATTTATTTGTGTATTAATAACAAACAGATAATGTTACACAGAAATGTTATCATTCTGATTCCGTTAAATGACCACTAAGATGTAATATCCAATAATAGTCATGATAATGTTACTTTTTATTACCTTTTTCATAACTTTCCTTTTCCACTTTTCCCCTCTCAAGTGGTCATCGTTTTGATTTCCTTTGGTCATCTTTCACATCTTCATATCATCCCTTTACACTTTATTTACAACTTAAAGCCAAGTTACTAAGTGTTAATTGTAATTAAAATAAGATTCTTGAATCTCTTTATAATGTTTATATATTTTGCTAATGTCCGCAAGGAGTTATATTAATAGTTACCATTCATATTAATAGAATCTGATTCATTTTCATCATGATAATGAACTTTTTTTCCTTCTGAATACAAACTGAATTTCCTTTTCACTTGTAGCATTTGATTAGTGAACCTGATGATTATCATGATACAATTAGAACAGAAAATCATTTATATTAATATTGATATTACATATGAATTGACAATATTGAGGTGGATTCGGAAAAAGTTCAGGTATTATCGCTTGGAGTGAATAATTTTATCGCCCATTTGAATTGAATATATTTCAAGAATCAGATTAAAATGTTTGTAACATTGGCGATAAGACTAAAATTACATTGTATCAATCAGAATTAAAGATTTGAAATGATAATCATGGTAATAAAATCGTAGCATGATAAATGTTTAGTGTATATTTTTTCTCGTATCTCTATTCATATGTAACATGAACTTGATGGAATTGAAATGACAGTGAATAGAAAGCATCATGTATTATCCCTGAGAATTGAGTCGAATGATATGAAATTTCCTGTTAATGTTCACGGTGTGTTTCATTTCTCAATTATATCCTGTCATCAGAATTATACACTTCTCCCCTTTCAGGAAAACAGGCCTGATGATGATGACGAGAAAGATTCAAAGTCTAATAATAATAAAAAAAATGTTCCATCTCTTCATATTCATAGCATGATAATAACACAATGAATATGAATAACATTATCCACACAGAACTTTTTTTTTCCTCTCCATCTCTTTGCCCAATGTTAACTGTTATTGACTTGTGACCAACATTGGGATGAAAAAAAAGTACATATGATAACCTTATACCTGTCAATCAAAAGTAAACTAACCTTGAAATTCATTCTCATCATCATGATAATTATCTCTGAAATATCATCATCATGATTTAACTTTTTGCTAGAATCAAGATTATCCGTTTTATGGAAAAATTAATCGATATTTGTTTCAAAAGAAAACATTCAACTAATCAAATTTTCTGTTCTAAATTTGCTTTTTCTCAGATTCGATAATCAATCAAAACTGGACTGGTCAAGTTGATCTTCAATCACTTCACATCAAGTGGTCAGTTCAAAATGTATCCAAAAGTTATCACACTCAATTTACTGTTAATACTAATACAAGGTAAGTAATCTTAATCTTCAGATTAACTGATCAGTGTATTGCCGATATTGTGTAACTTGTTGGTGATTAGTCCTTGCAACTTTGATTGTTAATTGTTGACTGAAAAGTTGATGAAAGTTTAGACAATTCAGTTGAAATTCATGACCTTTAGGTTAACCATGGACAGACTATCGTCATGAATTGTGGATGGCAAATATTGACAGCTACTAGATTCATATAATCTCTGGACAGTTAGTTAGTTTTTCATTTAGATCCATGAAAATGTTAGCCAATATTTACCTGGAGATTGAAATTGAATCATGATTATGTTTGAAGAGAATGGTTAACATTTGATTCTGATGTAATTGTCATTGATACAATGTTTATATTACTCACAGATTAAATTAACTTTCCCCTATTCATGAAGATATTATTTACTCAACACTGACCATACAAAAATAAACTGACCCACAAGTGAAAGAAATTGTATTGAACTTTTCAGAAATCTAAAAATAATCAACCAAATTATTAGACAATTAAAAGAATTCAATGAACTTACTGATTTTCCCTGAATTACACCAGGGAAAGCAATACAATATCAATTTTCTATTCTGAATCTTGAAATTCCCACAGAAAGTTCAATCTTTTCCCCATGAATATAGTTCAGACATGAACATAGTTATAGGCTTACGAATCTAAATTGTTCCAATTTTATGATTACCATTATTAGATTCGGTCCATTGGATAATTAAGTTACTTTGATTGTCCATTAAAAAGGTTAATTAATGCTAATAATATACCCGAAAGTTTCAATAGCATATCTGATTGACCATCATGGAAAACTAGAACTTTCAATTTAATCGAAAATGAAAAAACTTTTACTTCATCAATTCTTATATTCCCATGTTTCTAGTGCGATCACATTGTTATCATAATTTTATCAAATTTTTAGATATTGATATTGATTGTTAGAGAAAAGTTCAGACAAAATATCGAACTGAAAAAAGTTGTAGTAAACTTTTTTATCTACTATTTGCTTAGAGCATTTTAAATGATTCATAAGAATGGAAAACAAATAGTTGATCTCTTTTTTCAAGGGTGAATCTTATATTTTCCACCCTCTATTATATACTCATCCACTTTATTTACTTTCAGATAGAATTCAATATGATATGAAAATTTAATTCGATAAAATGAAAGAACCAAACAGATCATCTTAGAACTTTTGTTTTTCTTTACTAATCTAAAGGGAGAATCTTTTTCAATATGGTTACACATTTAAACTGTGGTGAGATTTTAATAAGAAATAGAAACTAACCAAACATATATTTTATTAGAAGAGGAAACAGAAGAAAAAAGAAAATCACAATTTTGAACTTTCCTCGAATGTCCAACTTATCGATAATATATTTATACACAATATATTATTGATGGCTGTTGATTAGTAAACTAATTTCTTACCATAACCAGAAATAAAATACATTAAAAGTTATCATTAGTATTGATAATAACATGCATTATTTATGGTTACCTGGGGCGTTGATGGATTTTGTATTAATCGTAATTACTTATTACTATTAGTGATACAGTTAATCATTGAAAGAATTGAGGAAGGGAGAGAAAAGAGAGAGAGGTCATTTTATTGGAAATCGATCTGATTTTCTGTAATGAATACCATGTACATAGAGAAAGGGGAAAAGAGAAAAACAAAAAAAAACATTATTCTATTAATAAGAAAACTCTGAAAAGAAACAACAAGATGACCATCATGTAACAGGGTGAAATTAGTCCATAGGTATATAAGCTGATTTAACCATGGACTCTGGATGATTAAGCTTTGATAAACTGTTACATTGCCTGGTTTTTGTAGATATCAATTTTTACCAATTCTTGTATCATTATGATTAGTTTTCAGGTCTCTCTCTCTCTCTCTCGGTCTGAGTAGTAATAATTTTCAGGGGAGATTAGTTATTAACTTTCACTTATTTTGATTAGCTTTTGATTTTCATGATAGGTTTATTGGAAAGCTTTAAATCAATTTCTGATCAATTAATAGCTTTTTGTTTCATGAATGATTAATTTGATTACTAATCATTGATTACCTTGAATGGTTCATTTAACTACTATGTATTAATATGTAAATATTTTTGTTTCTATTGTTTCATGATGAACTTTTTTTGCTCAATTTTGGGCCTTTGATTGATTGAAGGGTCAGTTGTGGTCATTGTTTTTCTGGAAGTTGATGAAAAGTTGGAGGTATTGACTAATAGAATTGGAGTTTCCTTGTTTTTTCTTCTTCTTCGACATTCAATTTGAAATGTTCATTGTTCGATTTGAAGAGGAAGATAAAGATGATAAGATTATCAGCATCATCGACGAATTGAAATAATAGGTTGAAGATGGATGAAGATGGAGAAAGATAAATTATCATGTTCGCAGAAAAGTAAAGAAAAATAGAGTTACATTGAAACTAATCTGTTCCAATGAATGAAATCGATCGACAAACAAATGATATTAATTATTCATCGTGTGATGGTTCAGACTCTTCAGGTTACTTAGGTTACCTTTTGAACATTGCGAACTAAATCTCACTCCCTGAGGTACAAGTGTAAAGGTGAGATTAAGATATACATGGGGCATGAAAAAATAATGTTCACTAATTGAATGTAACAAGAAAAAGTTCAATTCGTTTACAATTTTTTTCACCTTTGATTTTCTGAGTGATAATTTCGACATTGACAGACAATTTTGTGTCATTGGAAACATCCGGAAGTACAATGAGTGAAATGTGCTGAAAATGACAGAATAATATCAAATTTTAGTTAATCTTTTGAATGAACATAAATGTTTATGATAAATTTCATTCAGAATTTGCTTGTTTTTTTTTCTTGAAACATATAATTTCAATGACAAGGTTTTTTTGTGTCTACTTTCATTTCAATCTCATTGTTACCCTGACATCACCATGTACATGGTGGGTGATGAAAGTTATGGCGGTGGTTGAGAAAGTGAAGTGTGTGTACATTACAATGGGAAAGAGTAACATTTGAAATGTAATATTTATCAATTCAAATACCATTAGTTTGTGTACTCTATGGATCAAGTTGTTTAATAAATGAATATACAAATGACTGGTTAGGGAAGGGAGAGGATAATGATGATTAGGAAGAGAAGGATAAAATTGGAGTGTGATGAAAAGTAGAGAGAATGAGAGAGAGAGATAGAGAAGAAAAAAATATGATTAGAGTGATGATGATGATTGGAAAGAGAGAGAGAGAGAATTATTTGAATGGTCATTTGAATGGTCAATAAGATGGAGAGTAGTTTTGTTCGGGAGTATAAGAAAACCATTAGAAAAGATTTTCTCTTTTATCTTTTTATGTTTATCATTTTCTTTTTATAAAATGAACATTCACCATGAACTTCATGATATCACAAGGAAAAGGAAGATGAGGATGAGGATGAGAAGAGAGGAAAAGGAAACGACTCTAACAAATTGCTTTTTCCTTATACAAATAGACTACATGGAAATACATACACAAACACATACATAATGATGATCGGTTTACATTTAGATTATTCACCTTGAAATTTTTTTTCGAATTTTTTTTTATATTCTATTCTATTCTTCATCTCATGGATTCTCTAAAATCTTTGAACTTACTGTATTTTTTTTCCTTCTTCTTTTTCTATCAAGGACTTTACTGCCTACGTATTGTTGATCTAAGAGTTCCTTCACCAACCATTGCCGGTGAATCAGTTGAATTAACCTGTAGCTATGATTTAGAAGATGATAAATTGTATTCCGTTAAATGGTACAAAGATGGATCTGAATTTTACCGTTACGTGCCTAAAGACTGGCCTCATGCTCAGGTATTACCTATGGAAGGTATCAGAGTTGATGTAAGATTTTTATCTCTCTTTTTTTTCTTATCCTCATTAATCTTATTGATCCTTTTAATGTCAATCCTTTTCCCACCTTCTTAAAGGATCTCGTGTTAGTTAATCCTGATTAGGATTAAATGATCACCTTTCAAAGGATATTATCTCTCATTAACTTGATTATCTCATTACCTTAGATTAAATATCTTCTTGATGTACAATCTTGTAGTCGATTAGCTAGGATAACCATAAGGGATTAGATTAAAAAATTTGAAAGTTTCTAACGGTCATTTGTATCAATAACAATGTTAGTTCAACTGAAGAAATTGATTTTATTGGATCAACTTTCAATATCAATTGTAGACTATGAATTAATGGACTAATACTTTAGGTTTGCTAATTGTTTTAACTGGTTTAGACTATGGATTTAAACTAATCCTCTAATCATAAGTTTGTGAGTTTATTTTATACATTACAATAAACTTAAAGGATTAATGAGTTATTATGATGGATTATTGTTGAGTGTCATTTGTGTTAATGATTTTTATTGAATTTCTTGAACTTTCCTCTTGACATTCTCGATTTAGACATCCAGATCAGCGAGTACCACAGTTTATCTTCGTTATGTTGACCTTAACTCGGCGGGTAAATATCGTTGTGAGATATCAGCCGAAGCTCCTTCATTCAACACTGCAGCAGCAGAGAAAGATATGGAAATTTATCGTAAGAACAATCAACAAATAATAACAGTAAAAATTTTTCTAAATTTTCTACTTTCTAATGCTTCTTTTCTCCATAATCAACAGATCTACCAATTGAAGATCCACAAATAAGCATAGGAAAATTCAAATATAATCCAAACGAGGAGGCGATCGCCAATTGTACCTCCCCGAAATCAAAGCCTTCAGCATCGTTAACATGGTTTATCAACAATGTCAAGGTAAATTCAGCCACTAACTGAACCTTAACCCCCTTGGAATGAAACATGACCACAATCAGAATCCGCTCATCTAATTACTATGTTGTTGATTGTTGGTTTTCACTCCCAATATTTGAGTGAATGGTTCAGGTTTTTTTTTAATTTCCTCTTGACAGTAATGATTGATAACCGATTAAGTTGATTATTATCATCAACTTAATTTAGTTTTACTTTTCTTTGCTTGATCAACTGATTGATTAGTAACATGATAAGCATAAGATTCAATATAAATTATATCAACATTTCATTGATTAATTGACTAATTCATTACTCTTTAATCAGTGCTGATAAATCATTTGATAATCATGAGAATGGGAAAAGGGGTTAGAACATAATTATCATCGATGATTTGAATTGGATAACAAATTATGATAACAATAATCAAATCAATTTCCAGAATTGTAACAATATGATATTGCTGATATTTAATTTTTTTTCCTTACCATTTGATTAATCGTTTGATTATCATGAAAAGACATGATCTTGATGATCAAATTTATATCATCTGATAGCGTCTTGATTGAAATTAATGATTCGTGAAATAATAATAATCATTGAATATCATGAACTTTCACCATGGTGAACAGGAAAAGGTATCATTTGCTTTTTCCTTCAATCTTAAGTTTCAAGTATCTCGAGGTTATTGGTCAGTAAATGGTCAATATATATGAACAACTATAAACTTATATGTAGATGAAGTAAACGATGTTTGTATCGAGATAAATTCCATGATGAGTTCAGATTTGGAAAATTTCAATTCGAAACTCGGACAAAAGTCTAGAAGAAAAATAAAAATTCTTGACACGAAGTTCGTGCTCACTCATGACGATCATTTTATCTGACCATTAATTGTTTCAATTTCGTTTGATTAACTTTCCAAAAATCAAGAACTTTGTTCAGCACAAAACTTTCGTTCATAGCAACTGACCATTTCCGCTATTTTTGCAGTAATTATCAAGTTGATTTACTCTAGTTAATTTAGACCTTATCAAGATTATCATAGTCTAATTGAATTAGGATGATGTAACTTTAATGGTTAACAAAATGATTTCAACTGTTTAACAAATGATTTTATCAAAATTAACTTTTCTCTGTAAATAATTTGATTGTTAGCTGAATATCAGACTTAATTGTCAACAGTATACGAACACTATAAAATTAAACAGTTAATCTTTATTCAATGTGATGTTTTAATCTGTTTCCTTTTCCGGTTGTTTTCCCTACAGATTGGATCAGAATATAAAGTTGGCTTTTCAACGACCTTATATAATGATGGCCTAGAATCATCATTTATAAGCTTAAACTTTGTGATAAAAGAGCAACATTTTATTAAAGATACTATCATACTCAAGTGTACATCGCAAATACATGCAGTCCAAAAGACCAGTAAAGCTCAGGTCACTTTGTACCGGACAACCAGTTCAAAGAGTAAACAAGATAATCTTCAACGAGATTCGCTCAGTGAAAATTTAAGCCAAGGTAAGAAACGAAAATATCGAACTTGTATAACTGATTAGAACTTTTTCTTTCATGATGATAATTGATGGATGCAATTGGAATGAAATATTATCGTTGTTTATTGATGATGATACCAAAATTGGATTGAAAATAATTGATTATTATGGATCAATGTACAAGTTGATTTGTTTCTCTCGTTGATTTAAATTAGCAGGAAATAAGTTGTTAGTGTCATGTTATTTTCCTGTTAATTGGTAGTGTCCATTTAATGATGATGAGACAGAGGAGGGAGAGTAAGCTGGAAGCGGGTTGATTAGTTTGTTTAATGTCCCCAGAATTCAATGGTCATCCTTTACTTTTCCCACCCTGTGAATGGATTCAATTTATATTTACTCCCTGTTGTGTGTGATTGCTGTTGTTGTATCATCATCATTATCATCATTAGGTTATTTTATCATGAATTTTATCCCATCTTTTGAATCAATTGTCATGATGAATTTTTTTCAGTTTCTTCTTTTTGTCTCAATTTTTATCACACAATTGAATTCATTGAGTTATCAGTATCATTAGTATGATAACATTGAAAGTCAGCTTGAAATGATTTCTAGATTTCACCTGATATGGCTTCAGGGAATGGTCAGTTGGCTAGTTAAGCTGTAAGAATGAGAAAGAGAGAGAGAGAGAGGGTCAAGCTAAATTACACTTCTCTCGTTCTCTTTTTTGCTTCTTAGATGAAGATGATGATGATTATGAAGATGATGATGATGATGGTCAGTTAAAGGGAAATTGGGAATAAGGGACAAAGTGGGAGGGATTATATTACGAGGGAGAAAATAAAAACAATCAATTTCAGGCCAATTTAATGAGCGAAGGATTTTTACCTACCAAAGACTAGCAAGAAAGAAAGAGAGAGAGACAGAGAGAGAGACAGAGAGAGAGAGAGACAGGGTGGACACTGGGCAGTGGGAAAAATACATAGAGAAAACAATCATCAATCCCCTATCCACAGATTCATGTGAAATTGTTGAACTAGAAACATTTTTGTTCAACAAACAATATCATCTAGAAAATAACAAGAGATGGACAGAGGTACATTCAGTGGACAATAGTTGAGAGAGAAAGTGAAAGTGAGATGAGAAAAATGCTGACAAGAACAATGTAATAGTACTAATATCTCGTTTTCCTCTTCTTAACAATTTATCTCGAAGAAAGTTTTCTTCTCTCTTAAGAACTCGATAGATTCTCGAATATCCTTTTTTCGCAATTTGTTGACAAATATCAAAATGAAGATAAAACATTAATGATACAATGAAATTGATACACACACAAACAATTTAATAGTTGAAACTTTTCTCTCTCTCTTCTAGATTATTTTTTTATTATCCAATATGTTGAAAATTTTCATCAACTAATGATTTCAACTGATTAGTTTCATTTTCGATAATCAATGATTGGAAAATCTATTATCTTATTGATGTGCCTCTCTAATTAGCAAAACAGGGTAAAGTTCATGAATGAATCTGATTGAAATTTCAAAGTGAATCATATTTGAGATTTGAGTCACTTTTGTTTTCCTGCATAAAAAATTCAAGACTTACAAATGTTGCCATGTTATCTCATCTTGCTGAATTATATACCATGAGATTGGAAGTGCTTCCTTTACGTAATTCTAAATGTTATTTGTTATCATTTTGGTTCATATTGAATAAAGAGAGGATAAAATACTAGAGATGCTACAAGAAAAAAGATTATGAATTTTTTGTCTTCATCTTTTCCGCTATCACGATATTCATGAAGGTATTTCAAGTGTGTGCACAGAATTTGCATTAACTTTACACTCTTAATCAGATGAATATGAGACAAGAATAAAACAAATGAAACCTCATCCAAATCGTAAGAATATAAGTTGATATATAGTCAGAGAGACATGAGGCAAGTGAAGATGATGATGAGAATTTGAGAGAGAGGATCAGGATGATGAGAAATCCCGACTGGATTATTGTCACGAATGGAATATCATTGACTGGGATGGATAACATGTGAATACTCAGCATGAGGTTTCAATGTGGAAATGGAAAGGTTAACAATGTTGTCGTTCAAAGATCAGAGAGATTGAACTTTTTTTTTACACCTTAAATTATAAGTGAGTGTTCATGGTGATCATGTTAATCGTCATGTTAATCGTTAATCAACATAATGATTATTCAAGTTGTTTTTTTATTATTTTTATTTCACTTTTTCTTGATTCACTTTGTTATTAATTCACGAATTTGAATCAGAAAACATAAAGGGAATAAAACTTTTTGAGAATCAACTTGATGTCAACTCATTTTCAGGGACAGAATGTTAATTTTTCTGGACATTCGAGTGGACATTCATGATATGGTTACTCATTGTCACGCAATTACATTAACATATCAAAACTGTTACCTTTTATTGTCATGTTATAATTATTATCCTGTCCTTAATTGTTATACATTTGTAACTGTAAACCCAAAAAATGATTTAAATTAATGATAATCAGTAGCAGGGGAAAAAAAGTTCAATCAGTTTCTGTTTCTTTGTAAGAAATCAATTGAAATCCCTGATGAGTTATCATGTATTTTTTAAATACTTTTTAATTGTTACCCTTTTAATGACAATGATTAGCATGATGATGATGATTATCATCATGATTGTATGTTAATCCAATGAAACTAATTATTCTCGTAATGGAAATGATTACGATGATGATTTTAGTTGATTGTTACATTTGATTTCATTGAGATTGTTGTTTTTGTATTTTCATCGCCATTGATTGTGAATTGAAAATTGAAACAATTTAAACTAATTGTGATTAACTAATTTACTTTTTCTTTTCCCATTTACAGTTGGTGATTTTTCAAATCCAAGGATTAACATGAGTAACCATTTCGGTCTAATTGTATTACTGTTTATATTGATTAATTTAATTACGACAAACAATTTAAATATAATCTTATCAATGGTTACATAAATTGTTTCACCTCAATGGATTTTGATAATTTATTACAATTAACTTTCACCATCATCAATCATTTAATTGTTTCCGATTTCCATCAACATTACTGGATTAACTATTAATACTTGAAATCAATTTTATCCTAACATGTATATAATAAATTAACGACAACAATTAAAGTTGACAAATTTGTTTTCCAACTAAATCAATGAATAACAATCAAGGAAACTGATTAAAACAATAGTTACTATTAAAAAAAACTTTTCATTTTGTAAATTTTGTTTCGTTTTCAAGACAATTTAAATTATTGATGAAAAATTAAGCAAACAATTAATGAGCAATAATATGTAAATGATAATAAAAGAGCAATTAAATTGTTTCAATTTTCATTTCTAATTCTTTCAAATTGTTATTGATTGATTAACTAATCATTTAAACACTAATCACTTTATCATGATTACAACTTGATTAGGACAATTTGTTTACCTTTCTCATTGGATAATCATAATCAACCTGAACAATTGTGATGATTGTGAATACATTTGATAATAAGTTAATGATAATCTCAGGTTGCAATTGGGAATCATTGATGATAATGATGATGATTAAATGATGATCATGTTTATCTTGATTAAACTAATGTTCAGGATAGTATGACAATCTAATTAAAAGGTATTATCAAGGTGAATACTGTGGGTGGAGTTGATTACATTTTTTTCCAGGTAATTTGATGAGACTTTGGGTTGGGACTAATCATCATGATGATCAACACAAAGTGGGAGGTTAATTGTATCCTAATAATCATGATAAAGTCTATCTTGAAGTTCTGGATGATTGTTGTTACTTATTATCGAAGGCGTTTTTACAGTAGATACTTGGGTGTGGTTAGAACTTTCTTCTTCTTCTTCTTCTTCTTTCTAGCATTTCGACTGCCTCCTTTATCCTCCTCCTACCAATGGAATTATTGATAAAAAAATGATATCTTATTTTCGTATTTAACTTGAAATTTGTCATGGAAAATGTTTCCCCTGGACAAGATGATTAAGATAATCAGGTAAATATTATTTTTCTTTGGAAGAAAAAATTTCATCTTGATTGATTTGGAATTTAAATTTAATCACTTTTCCTCTCTGATTCTAAGTTTCGAGTTTGATAGTGAACTTGAGGATAATGATGATAACTATTATTGGATGATGACTTTTTCTCTTCTTTCATGATTTCGATTCTATTTATCGTTTTCGAGGAGAAGAAGAGATTTCTTTTTCTTTCTCCTCGTTCTCTTTTAGGTTTCATCATTGAAGGTGAAAATGATTTTCAACACGAATTGAAGCTAATCATCTGTGTGAGTCTCTCATGATGATCTTCATGATGATAGAAAAATGATGAGAAAATTAATTATGTTACTATTATCTTGTTTCTCTCATCCAATGTCAATACGATTCCAAATGTTCCCATAATAATATTTCTATTGGTGGATAATAATGATTACTCGGCTGAAAGAAAACCCATAAATTGATAAAACCCATGAAATTGAATAGAAATTAACACAGAGAAAACTTATATTTGAGTCGATCTGTTTAGTTACTTTTATATAAGATAACTAGAGAAAAAAGTTCAATCCATATAATGAATTATCAGCTTATCAGAATTTCATAACTTTAGATAACTTCGTGAGTTTCTTGATAAACCAATAGAGATCTTTTTTTACTAACGTATGAATAAAATAGAACGATTTGAATGATTTGAGAACCAATCATCGATTAACTTTGGATTTGTAAGACAAATCATAGTTCTTATGAAAATTTATCCGAATGATTTACGAATGAAATATCGAAGTTTGAACAGAGCAATGTTTTATATTCTTAGCATAAAACTCATAGAAAATTTGATCAGAAATTTTAACTAAAACGACTTAATTGTTTATAATTAATAATCATTAAGCATTTTTGTTCTAATGAAATTTATTATTCTAAGATAGAATAAATTAATCAGAACATTAAATCAAAGTTATGTCATGACTAATCAGATAAAAATAATTCTATTGATTTGTATTAAATACGATAATCGTTTAATAGATAGTCTATCTGTGCAAAAATCTTGTACTTAGATCACGAAAAATTATCGAATCATTTTATTCATTAAATTGATCAATATTTCTCTGAATATTTTATGCAGATGGAATTGAGATAATCATGAAATGATATTCTTTCCATTCAAATAAGCAACAGTTTCTACTCAAAGTTATTATCAAAGTTTATTTGATTACATGGAAATCACAGTTTACCTTTTTTGGTTTGTTTTTCATCTTGGTCTTAATTCAATCAACATGAATGATAATATTCACAAAGGAATCAACTTAATATCAGTAATATGTTGTACTTTTCATTTTTACCTTAATGATAAACATGAAGTCATCTAATCAGTCGGATTATGATACAACAACAACAGCATCGAGAATGATGTTTGCGTGAACCTTGTTGTAAACTCGTATTCGTGATTAAATCTGAATTATGCGTAACAAGGAAAATGTTATATCATGAAAGAAGATGGAGAAGAAGAAGAAGAAAAATGAAGATTAAGACAGAAAAAAGATGAGAGAATGTGGCTAAAAAATGGCTAAGAGGATGAAAACTGATTCTAATGTAAGATACAATAAAAAGGAAAACATCATAATGACTCTGATATCGTTTGTTATCCTCATGCTTTTTGAATGTTCATCATTTTTATGTTATTTTCATGGGAAATAAATTTTACCTTGAACAGAGAGGAACCAAGAAAAAAACGTATATATAAAAAAATAATACGAGATAATGAACATGAAAGAGATGCGGAAAAATGGGAGTGGATGAGGATGAAAAATTCATCTCTCAGAATTTGCTTTTTCCTCTGTTGAGAAATGATGCTCTAACATGCACACCTAACCTTTCCTCACCTTCTCAAAGCCACCCATCTCTAAAATATCATCATCAGCACCACTGTTATCATTAACTATCAACAGAAAATGATAATGATATGAATAGGACAGAGAGAGAGAGAGAGAGAGAGAGAGAGAGAGAGAGAGAGAGAGAGAGAGAGAGAGAGAGAGATAAAATCTGTTGAGTCACAGATATAACGATCTGAACATGGAAACCAATTAATAATCTATGCAATCAACTGATATCTGCTCAACAATAGACAAGAAAACAATCAACATGATAACAGTTACCATGAATATAACTTTAATCTGATATGAAAGAATCCAAAGTTAGGTTTGGATGAAATTGTGAAATTGCAATGTTCCAGCAATTTGATTCTAATTTGCTCTCAGGAAATGTTATTCATCTGGGTGATTAACATTTCCTTTTTAGAACTAATAATTGGAATAGAATTTTCATTTCTCCATCATTGACCATTGTTCTAAAATCAAGTTTACTCTTTTTCTTCGGAAACGGAAGCAAAAAGTTTGATAACTGTTTAGACTTATCATCATGGTTACTGAGTACACAATTGAATTAATGTCCAAAACAGTGATGACATACTAGAACAGGATGAATTGACAATCATTAGATTTTAAACCTTAAATAGTGATGATTATTGTCACAATTAATTTGATTAACAACATAAAGACTATCTCATGTGCAATAATTAGCATTATTAAAGTTAAATCTTTTATGTTTTAGTCATAATTTTACTTACTCATAATTATTATATTCAATGATTATCAACATGATTAACCAATAAATAACCATCTAATACTCGGGCTCTGACTTTGCATAATTATGAGATCATTTCGACGATGAGCTTGGTTTACAGTTCGACGTTCACACTTTCTTTGAGCTCTGAGTTTGAAATTTTCCATAGAGAAAAACTTTTCAGCTTGAAAAGCGAAAAACTGGCCTCCGGATGTATGTGTTTCTTTATTCAGTAAAGAAAAATATAAGTTAATGGACATCGAAAAGGTTCATTAAAGGCCAAATCTAACTGGACATTGTTGAGGACAAAAGAGATCAGTTAAGGTAAATTTATCTATCTGATTGGTAATCATCATCTAAAATTGGATTAGCTTTCATGTTGTTTGAGTTGCTACTGCTGATGATGATGATACTTTAACCCTTGAATTATTGAGAAACCTTTTTGTTTCAATGTCAATATTATGATAACAATCAAAGTGAAAAGGTAAATATATATTAGATTTATCATTAGTGTTCAATGACTATTGACTATTATAAGAAAATCATTAAAAGTTGAATGGTCAATTTGAGCAATCACTTATTATGTTATTATGTTTGGGGTGAATATTTTTCGTAAAAAAGTTCTGAAAACTCAACGATTCCATCATTCATGATGTTACTTGGAATCCCAAGATGCTACAACTCTGATATCCTTTTTACTATTGTCTTTTTTCATGTTTAATCATTTTGATTAACTGATAATTCATTCAACTTTTGCGTGACAATTGAAATAATCTCCATATCCATTGGATTAAATTGTTATAATATTCACAAAGAGATTACATTATTTTTCTCCCAGATTAAATATCCTCATGATATTTATTTATATTCAAAGTGATGGTTGATTAAATGTCTCAGTTTCAAATGAATAATTCAGCTTGATATCATTAATCATCGCTAATTAAAGTCCGTACCTGATAGAAGTTTTTTTCCTCCTTGTTATTATCAACAATCAGGCAAGATGAATAAGTTTACTTAAGTCATTATATCTCATGTTTTATGGACAATGAATTAATAATGAACTTACCATGTTGACCGATGTTGTTTTTTTCTGTTGTTCTTGAGACTTTGAGTTTGTAATGGTAATAGAATCGAAGAGAAATGAGATTAAAAGCTTATGATGTTTAATTTAAAGATTAATTGATTGAACAGTTAATATCTTGAGTCCTGAACTATGGTGAACATTTAGTTAATTAGCAACCAAATGGTTCATTATCATCCTCTCTCTTTCATTGATCAAACTTGATTATTATTAAAACGCATTTTGACAATCATTTAGTTAGAATTATAAATAGTCGGGATGTTCAATGTTCTATTGGCTATGTGTTCATCTATCATACATGTCAATCGATTGTATTGGTGATTAACATTTTCACTGATTAGATTTGTCAATCATACATTTTCATTGAAGACAAAAATCTTATAATCTCATTCTCTCATTAATGGATTAGCGATTTAACCACCTTGGGAAGACATTGTGAACAGTAGTAATAAAACCTCCGCTTCTGAGTGGCTCAGAAGCGGAAGTGGGGGAAAAAAAGAGAAAATGGAAGAATTTTACCCTGAATTAAATATTCCAACAAAAAACTCAAATTTCCCGGAATCGGTGAAAAAACGAATCCGAGATCTGAATTTCACAGATCCGGTATTTTTTGTTTACATTTAACATTTGATTTCATTTTAAGTTTTCTCAAGTAATTTTCTAAATATTTTTGTTGTTTTTTGCTAAATTTTTGCCCAATCGAACTTGATAAAAATGTTATTGATAAGGTTTCCTATCCTTTACCTATTCATGTTGGGTAAGTGCGATGGATTATGTTCAAGTCGTCAGCGACAAATGATTAAGGTGTCAAATGATAGGAAGTAATAGTAGTATTAATCGACATGAGTTTCAATCAATTTGAATCCGGGGATTAGATTTTATAACCTATTGGGACTTAACATTATGTTAATAGCTACTGACAATAGATTATGTTCAAGTCGTCAGCGACAAATGATATGGATGTCAAATTCAGTTTATTTCATTATTTTTTTTACTCTCATTTCAAGAAAACAACACGTCTACCTCTGATGATAGCCCTGGTCCTCTTGCCATTGTTTCAGATCCTCTGCAACAAGACATCACGTGTGATCCAACTGAGACACAAAATGATAACCGTCAAACTAGATATAATTTACGCTCAGCTACGACCAATTCGATTCCATCTTCACCGCCATCAACACCTTCGGCCCCCTCTACTTCAGCTACTGATTTAGATGAAAATAACGAGGAAGAATAAGTTGGTGGTCATGCCGAATTGGTTTTGCGATACCCAACGGGTCAAAACGTAAGTTTACTGCTATCCACTTACTTTATCGACAATAATATGAAAATTTTATCATTTAGGAGCGGACAACTCAAATAGTAAAGTACAAAAATCTATCCTATGCTGAAAGTAAACTTATTGAAATTATTGAATATGATGGCAAACCTTATTGGAGAGGTCGCTATAAAGACCCTCTTTTCGAACAAAAGGATTTAGTCGATTACGATGAGAGGAACAATGTATTGTTAAAGCGTAGAAAATATGAGGATCTTCCAGAAGAAGAGAAAAAACAACTTGTTTTTGTCAGTCAAATGGAGAAATTTCATAATGATTATATAAAAAAATACCCTTATGCTTTTGAATGTGGCTACTGTTTCACATCTAAAAGTAGAGCTGACCTTCTCGATCGTCACATTTTCGGAAGAAACAATTCTTCAAATAGATTCGCAACTGTTTGCTCAAAAAGGATCGAAACCGACAAGTTAGAGGCGCGTGATATCCATAATACTCCTCTCAGAGAACCATGGGCGAGAATCATCATAAACAATCCAATATATGGTTTTGATGATCCGTTACCACGTAGGATTGTGCGTGATTTCAATCGGTATTTTACAAAAAATCACAAAATCACCAATCCTCAAATAATTGGTGATTAATACAAATCATTCTTTTTCATTGTAATACATATAATTTTACTTTTTATCTTTTTACTTGCATAAATTTTAATCATTAAAAATTTGTAATCATCAGAAATTTGTAACCATTGTGGTCATTTTATCGAAATTGACAAAATTAAACAGCACTTCTCAAATGACTATCTATTACTCATCATTTTTCATTTTTTGTTTCTTTTCAGGTGCCCTACAAAGTTAACATCTCCACGTGGTGTAGGGTGGCTGAGTAGTTGAAAAATGGAGGCTCTGGCACAGAAAGAGAAGAAAGAGAAGAAAGAGAAAAAGAAAGAGAATGAGAAAAGAAAGAGAAAAAGAAAAAGAACCAAAACCAGAGCCAGAACCCGAACCCGAACAAAAGTTCGCCAGAACAATTTAAGGTTTATTGGAGTTTAATCTTTTTCTCAATTTTGTCGACAAAGTCGACAAAATTTTCAATAAACTTTCTGGCCTCAGCCAAATGAATTTTTAAATTTAAAATTTCATCCTCATCAATTGATGGTGATGATTGTGATGATGATTGTGATGATGATTTAGATGGAGATGATTCTGATGGCGGTGATTTTGATGACAACGATCTTGTTTGCGATCTTGTTATTGATCTTGATGGTGATGATTTAGATGAAGATGAAGATGGAGACAAAGATGAAGGTGATTTAGATGAAGATAAAGATGAAGGTGATTTAGATGATCTTGGTGATGATGAAGATGAAGATCTCGATGGTGATGGTAGTGATGATGGAGACGAAGATGATTAAGATGAAGATGAAGATGAAGAAAACGATGAAGATGAAGATGATGAATTTGATGATGTTGCATGAGATGGAGATGAAGATGAAGATGAAGATGAAGATGAAGATGAAGATGATTTAGATGATGGAGATAATGGTGATGGTAATGATTTAGATGATGATGATGAAAAGTTTTTTGGTGATGATGATGAGGTTAAAAATTTTTGATTCTCATCCAACAGGATGAGAATCTCGTCCAAATCACTGGACGAAGGCTCGAAATCCATTAGATTTCGAGCCTCTTCACAATATTGATCATCAAAAAGATGATTCAAATCGTCAGTGACGATCTGCGGTGATGATGGCGGTGAAATGGGCTCAACTATGAGGCCATTCAGATTAACTTGGGGAACTTGGGGAACGGGGAGATCAATCTTGAAAAGTCATATCCTCGAGGTGCAAACCATTCAATTAACGTTAAAATTTCCCCCTCCGGCTGTCTGCCAAAGGAATCAAAATAGAAGGCGGTTCCATTAGAATAAAAGTGCACAGAAACCCAATGTGATCCAGGTCTGTAACTAGGATCAAGATTAATTATCAGAGACCTTGGTCTTTTTAAAACTAATGGTAAACGGTTGATTGGATAAACACCACCAAAATATGCTATTTTTCTAAGTAATCTAGTTATATCAATTGTTGTTAACATTAGTAATCTAGATAATTATTCTATTATCGAAATTAAATTATCAAACTGAGCAAATACAATTATCTTATATTGCTTTGTTGTTTCCGCCGTGAATCGAATTGCTTATCTGATTGCACCTCTTTTTAATAATGATAATGACCCTGACTCACCACCAAGAGCCCCACCAATGTCAAAGGCAAATAATGTTTTTTTACTTTTGTAATCTTCGTAAGATAAATCAATCTGAGGAATTCCCTCATCTTGTCCTAGAACACGAAATAAATTTACATACTCCCTCATACAATTGTCAGGAAAATCAGGTTGATGTGGAATACTTGGTATTGTGTTTCCATCAACATTAAGAGAAATTTTTTTTATCTTTAAATTTTTGAATTTATATGGATCCATCTTTATGTCTCCAGAATAGGCACTTTCTTCAACAAATTCAATAATTAATCGACGAGGTAGAATCCCTGTGAAGATATTTTCCATTGTTGCTGAACTGAGACCTTTACTTAGTGAGAAGCTCTTGACTTCATTTCTTATGATGAAATAATTTGCATTTGAATTATTCAAAGCTGATATTATTCCAGTTTGTGCGTCAGGGAAAAGTTTAACTCGTTTCATATGAGTTGCAAGTTTAGTCAGCTTTATTCTAAATGAACCAGTTTCAGCGATTATTGGGAAACTACGGGGACTTCTAGTGAATATGAACATTAGCGGCATTCCATTGATCAATAACTTATCTTGTGTTAACATTGGTAAATGTAATCTGAAATATAACTCAATATTATTTTTTATGTAAACTGATTTATCATATCTACTAATATCTGCTTTGGTAGGATGACGAAAGAGTAGATCTTCAATGTAAGAAGTGTAGTGATACATATTATTTGCTTGTGATGTATTAACTGTACCTAGGAAGAAATCAATGGACTGTGGATATTGCAATAAAAGTTACGGAACTGCTGAGGAGGTTAATGGTCATCTTTTTGGAAGGGAAATCCACCCATGGAATAACTTTTTGTTCATCTTTTCAAAAAAAACCTTCAAATGACCTCTAGATAGGTTTATCGTGAAATGACTTCAATGACCGTGAAACTTTTTTAGAGTTGAAGGTGACATTTAGTTATATTTGTTACATATTCCGGTAACTGTTTGATCTTGAATCCAATCGTTTATGGTCTGTTTGTTTACCTGTAAAGTTCTCAGATAGTTTTCAATAGGAAATTAGCCATAATCACTTTGAGTTGTGTAAACCTTGCGATATAATCTAATGATAAAGTGATAGACTAGTATACGGAGGAAAATGAAAACTTATGACTAGTAGCATGCATCAAATCAATTGCTATAGTCTGTGAGGTTCGATGATATGCATATGATATATACATAATTTATATGGAGAAAATCTGATGACCTGTCTCGAGCAACTCCTTAAATCTAAACTTGCACAGATCAAATGTCTCACAGCGAGAACCGACAAAAACACTCTACACACATGTGTGTAGTACCAAACCTGGCCAGTTTTGCTTAAAACAGAGAAAATAGAAAGTGATAACCTGTATATTTCGAGGATATTTTCGGGCGCTTAATTTGATTGACCTTCAAATGAACTTCAAATAATGTGTATATGTGTGTAATTTGATGGATTCATTTCAACATATTATTTTAGTGGTGTATAACACCTTATATTATGATTGACTTTCAAATTACCTTGAAATTACGATCGATCAACTATTGACTAGAACACAAGTAAGATCTTATGTTCACTGACTAACAAGAAATTGTAAGAATTTTTCGGTAGCAACACCCTAAACCACGGGAAGGTAAATTCTTTTCTTGGGGCAAATGAATATTTACAATGAATATGCTTATTTACAATGGGATGATTCTATTATTTTTTGTTTTTTCGAAATTAGTTTGGTTTTTTTGGTTTTTTATACATGTATACATCTAAACTTATGGATCCAAAGTGGTCCAATACGCTTCTTGGCTCATACTGATGGTATTATCTGTTATTAGCCTGGCTATCCTATCGCTTTATTAGCGGGTATCTACCTTTCATCCAGTTGAGGTTTCAAGAAGTAGTAGAAGAAGTATCCGATTGAATTAGTTGAGCTGCTACATAAATATGACCATTAATTGAAAATTAAGAATCTCTTGGTATCTTCAATATCTTATTTGGACATGATTTGGTTATGTTGAACATTTCAATCGTATGACCAAAACAGTAAATATAAAGTTTATTATTCACAACTTTAATTTGTGGATCACCAGCGATGAAGCTTGAAAGTTTAACACAGTTATATGCCTTCCAATGTATATGGCCCCTGAAATTATATTTGTCACAAGTAGTAAATGGTGGTGGGTATAATTTTATATCCGGTGCTATCTTAGTTCCATCAATAGTACTAATTCTCTTTCCAGTTTTGTTTACCACTACATATTCCGGTCCGTGATATGGTAAGACTTTACTATACCCCCCTTTCAAATCATCTCGAAATTTTTCTGTGTATAGCTTGCATAGTGGTCTACGCATGTGTGAAAAATTTTTTACGGAAACTACTGTGGGCGGAGTTATAGCCATTTAAAAACTCAAAATCCTTAAGGAGTCTATGGGACATTTCAACTTTGCGAAAATTAGAATTGCATGAAAGTGGGATGGGCTTAGATGATAAAAATTTTTCGCATATACAGTTGACTATGAACATCTTATATACCAACTTTTAGCCGAATTCGATATTAGCAACAGTACTTACAAGGGATGTCCACGATCTGTTAATTCGATATCGATATATCGATAGTGGTAATCGATAAATCTCGATGTATCAACAACTAAAAAATATATATTAGCTGCCACTTCCGTTTCCGTTTCTGAGAAAATTTTTTAGTTTCTATTTTTTTAATGCGTTATTCTTACATTTTAGTTTCTTTTTGTCAATTAATTTAAGTTTTTGCTTTTCTATAACGACTACTATATCAGCTAAAGATTTTCTGCAAAAAGTATGTGCTAAACTACCTCGAAATCGAAAAGATCGTTTTCAAGATGATAATGAGTTAATCGACACCATTGTCAATTTAATGGTTAATTTGGATGGAAACAAGTCTTGTGAGCTTGAAAGCTTTGAGGAATTGGTGTTCAATTCTTCTGAAGAAGATGAAATTTATGTCCCAACAGAGGAACCTCTGGACATTTCTACAAATTAGTTCACCATGGAATATATGGCAAAAGTTGTTGAATATGCAAAAAATCACTCATTCACTTCTGTGCATCATATGTATAGGAGTGTTCTTTATCCCAATTATATTAGCCGTTTTCGATAATACTTGGACAAGTTTGGAACAAACAAAACCAAATACCGGACAATAAGTGAATATTGCTTCAAGAAGTTCAAGGAAACTCGAGAAAAAGGTGCAAGTATTCATGATGTTACTCTTAAAAGATGAGCACTAGAGAAGGCAAGAGAACTGGGTATGGAACAGTTTAAAGCCTCTCGTTCTTGGATACATTCGTTTAAAAAAAGGAATAACATTGTATCAAGGAAAGTTACCAAATTTGTGACAAAAAACTATTCTTCAGATCAGATAGAAATTGAAAATAGCGGGGTTGCATTTCATCTCAAATTGTCTGACGAAATAATACCTAATACACCTGTGGATCAAATCTTTAATAGTGACCAGTGTGGATTTAACTATGAAATGCATGGAAACCGAACGCTCTCTTTCAGGGGTGAAAATCAAACAATTTGTACTATTGGCTCTTCTAATGCAGTAACTCACTCATATATAATACAACCTCTTATTTCCATGTCAGGGCAGCTATGCAAGAACCTGTTGATTTGTCTTCAAGAACCTAGCGGCAGTTTTGGACCTCGTGTTAAGGAAAGCTTACCAACAGTATTAGGAGTTTTCATCACTTGCACAAAATCCGGAAAGGTTGACAAAGAAACACTCATACAATGGCGAGATAATTGTTTGTTTCCTAATGTTTATTCTAATGCATGTCTTATACTTGATTCTTACTCGACTCAAAGAGATCCCAAAATCTTTATAACACAATCACATCATGTTTCTTTATGTACATTACCCCCAGGAACAACATCATTTCTACAACCACTTGATGTTTACTTTTTCCGACCATGGAAATCATTCTTTAGAAAATTTACAGAAAGAATCATCACCGATGGTATAGAGGTTGTTAGACTAGGTCAGTAATAGTCAAAACTGTTATTTGTATATATGTAATGACAGACTGCTCAGATCAACTTGCAATTTGACCATTTTTCAAGGTCGAAATAATTGTCAAGGTCATTTTGGTCAAGATCGCTGTAACTAATTTTTTTGCGATTTTTAGCCAATAGAGCGTGCTAGAAATACTTTAGTTCACATGCCGACTTAATACATTCTCGATTAAAAATTTTGCCGTGGTTTTAGCATCTCTTTTCCGAATCGCCTTCAACTCTACCCACCGCATAAAGTATTCACTGCCTCAATGATATATTTCATTGCATTTTCATTTCATAATTTCCAGATGATCGGAAAAAGGAACTAAAATATCAATTCCAATTTTTTCAAAGGGTTGAGAAACATAATTCGATTTCGATGGTGGATTTGCATTACTCTCTCCTGCTTCATTAGTTTGACATTTAATACAAGTTTTCACATGTTTGGTTATGTCTTTTATCAATCTTGGCGAATATTACATTGATTTCAGCATCAAGATTTGATAAGTTTGAATAGACCACAATGACCGGAAACGGCATCGTCTTGGTAACTTTTCAAAACCTATTGAATCAAAGAATTAGGTAGAACGTCTACCCATTTTTCGCCCGAACGAGTGATCACTTTTCGTTGAAGAACTCTTTACTAAACTCGGTTAAATTGTTGAATCTGATTTTTAAGTTTGAGATTTAAATTATTTATATTTTCAATTTGTCTTAAAGTTGATTGAATGAATGGATCGCTTCGTTGATGGTTTAATGGTTCATTTAATCTCTGATTGTATTAGGTTACCTATAGTGTAAAAATATCATCTCTTTGTTCTATGTCATCTAATTGTAATGAATTAAGTTCAGGATCAATTGTTGGATATCGACTTAAACAATCGGCGTCAGCATGAGTTTTTCCTGATTTGTAAGTGATGATAAAATCAAATGATTGAATGGTAATTGCATCAAGCGCGAAGGTAATTTCGCTATTGTTTTTAGAAAGCATAAAGCACAGTGGTCAGTTACCACCTCAATGCCTTCTAAATAGTGCCTGAATTTTTCTACTGCGTGAATGATTGCCAAGCATTCTTTTTAGGGTAGTTAATTCAAGCTCCTCTGATTTGCCTGGAAGCATAAGCGATTGGATTCCATTTTCCTTCATCTTTTTGCAAAAAAATTGTGTCTAATCTCATGTCAGATGAATCGGTTTTTAGTTGTGTTTCTCTTGATGGATCATAATGACGCAGGAGTGGTGAATGAGTTAATTTATCTTTTAACTCATTGAATGCTCGAATTTGTTCCTCCTCCCTTTTGAACGGATGTTCTTTACGAGTTAACTGAGTTAAAGAGCTAGCAATTCGAGCAAAACCCTCGAAGAATTTCTGATAATATGAACATAGTGTCACAAAAGCCCGTACATCTTTTAGTGTTATTGGAGTTAGGAATTTTTCAATTGCTTTAATTTTTTCATCATCTGATTCTTGACCTTTAGTACTTATACTATGACCCAGTTAAAGAATTTTTGTTTGAAAAAATTTACATTTTTCAGGCTTTAAGGTAAGCACCGCTGTTGGAAGATGCTGCAAAACTGATTCCAACAACGCTAAATGCTCCTCTTCTGTTTTGCTGAATACAATGATATCATCAATATAAACTACATTAAATTTCAATTCACCTCCT